ACTTTTTGCCCATTCATCCAAAAGAGCATTTGTGAGGTCAGACACTGATGTTGGACGAGAGGGCCTGGCTCACAATCTCCATTCAAGTGGAAGGTATTCAATGGGGTTGAGGTCAGGGCTGAGTGAGGGCCAGTCAAGTTCTTCCACACCAAACTCACCCAGCCATGCCTTTATGGACCTTGCTATGTGCACTGGGACTCAGTCATGCTGGAACAGAAAAGGTTCTTCCCCAAACTGTTCTCACAAAGTTGGAAGCTACAATTGTCCAAAATGTCTTGGTCTGCTGAAGCATTAGGATTTCCCCTCACTGAAACCAAGGGGTCTAGACCAACCCCTGAAAAACAACCCCATAGCATTATTCCTTCTCCACCAAACTTTACCTGCCTGACTGCATGGCGCCAACTGTAATGTTCTCCTGGCATTCACCAAACCCAGACTCCTCCATCAGACTGTCAGATAGAGAAGTGTAATTCGTCACTCTACAGAATGCGTTTCCACTGCTCCAGAGTCCAGTGGCAGTGTTCACTACAGAGGACTTATTTACTCATTTTCACTCAGAAAATCAACCAAACCTTGTCATTTGATCAGGGGCACCCAAACCTTTGCAAATGAGTGTATTATGGGCTACATATTTCAGAATTTTGTGGGTCCACTCTTTGCCTTTATTACATCTTCCATTCTTTTCAGGAGGCTCACTTTTTTCAAAAGAAATCTGCAGGGATATGTTTCCACCTCCAAAGTTCAGACTTAGATGTTGATTTTGAACTTTCTGCTTCTCACCATCCAAATAATCCCAAGAAACGATCCAAAAAATTCCACTGCAGGTCTGAAAATTAGTGCTTGAGGAGTTTTTGCACCTGACGCTTTACTACAGTTGTTTTTTTACATGACTTTTGTGTTTTACTTCTGCTTGAGTCATTCACTCTATTAAGTAACAGTGGGCCTAGGCTGTTCTATCCACCTCTAGTATGATGTGAAGAAACGGCCTCTTGTAGTGGAATATGCTGCATCGACCCATGTAAATTGGGCCCCGTCCAATTTGCATGAGCATCGATTTTGATTAGGCTACCCACGAAACCTCAGAGTAATTTGCACCTCTTGTACAAAAATGTGCTGATTCAGTTTGATGGCTGTCAGATGATAAAAATTACAAGCAGTATGTAGCACCAGACAGCCTGGACCCGCTTCAGCGTCGCGCACAGCGCTGACGGAGCGTCAGAACCTTGGCAACAACTCTTCTGATTAAGGCAAAGCTTTTGGTGTAGTTAGCTGAAAAGGCCCATTTATTGAAATAATATGCACAGTTGGATTCTTTGCAAAGGTTAATCCTCATTCTTTTCATGCCATCTGTTATGTAGAACAGGTTCTTATGGAAAGCACAGTGCTGCCATCTACTGGACAACAAGCAGTTGCACAGCAAGTTATTTATTTATTTTCCTTTATTTATTTTGATGAAATGCCATTTCAGTTTGTTAACTCTGCTGGAAGGGTGATCTGACAAAATGTACAAACTGCAGAAGTCAAATTACAAGCCAGAATACAGCATAATTAGACTTTTACTGAAGCTAATTATGATTGGTTGTGCACAAGCGATGGAGCCACAACAAAAACTAAATTACCATTATATGCACTATAAATCCACTTGGGATGACCTTTGCTTGAATCTGAAGGGTTCGGCTTGTGCCCAGAGACAGATTTTTGGCAGACTCTGGTCACCGGCTGCATGGCCTTTGTCATAGTTCACACTGTCGCTAAGGAAACTGTTGCTATGGGGAGGCAAGTGAACAGCTGAACTTGGTCCAAGTGGCACTTAAGGATTTCAAGAGCAGAATGGAAATATGGTACGCACTCCAAACGGGCCTGCTGAAGTCTGAAATTATGCTTGTTTTGCTGAAGGATGTTAGCCAGCTATTTGTTTTTGCCACTGCTATTCTTGGCTGGGGTTTTTCTGCTGAAGTGTTTTTAATTAACTCCAGTTAAAAGACTCTCTCAGTCAGTTTGGAACAAGGTGGTGACTGTCACTTGATTAAGTATCCAGCTGAAGGGAAAGTGAAGTTGTCACCTTCAGATTTATACACCACGCTCCATGGAAACTACAGCCAGTAACATGACAAAGCATAGTGACTAGGGATGAATCAGCGGATAACCGCATAAAAATGATTGGCATCGGATAGATGTTTGGATTTTACAGAGCTCCTAAAGAGACAGGGTGATAACTTTTTAATAAGGCATGGTCATGAATTAATATATGAAGGCCACAAATTAATATAAATAGGTCATAAATTACTACATTGAGGCCATGGATTATTATATAAAGGTCACAAATTACTATATTGAGGCCACAAATTAACATATTGAGAACACAAGATACTATATTAAGGCCACAATTTACTATATTGAGGCCATGGATTATTACTTAAAGGCCACAATTTACTACATTGAGACCATAAGATTTTATATTGGGCCAACAAATGACCATATTGAGAACACAAGATACTATATGAAGGCCACAATTTACTATATTGAGGCTACAATTTGCTATATTGAGACCACAAGTTACTATATTGACGAAACAATTAACTTTACTACTATATTAATATGTTACTATATCAACTTGTTGCCTCAGTGTATTTATTCATGTCCAAGTCTTATTAAAAAATAATCACCATGTCACCTTAGGGGCTCTGTGAGATTTACCCGCCAGTTCAATTTGATGACGTACAGTGCTGTGCAAAAGTCAGAGACTTTAATCTAACCAGTCAAAAAACAACTGTTAATTTCACTGAGATATTTTTGAGGAGATGAGATCCACTTGCATGAGGAAAAAGAAAGTCAAAGAAAATAAGTGAAAAACCAGAAGCTTCCAAAACTTCAAAAAAGATTGAAAGATACAGAGAAAAGGGAAACTGAACTGTGGAGGTGTGGAAAAAAGCCCCTGCAGATTTCTTTGAAAAATTGAAAGTAGGTCTACTGAAAATAAAGGAAGCTGCAATAAAAGGAAAAGGATGGAAATGTGATATTACATTTATAATGTTCTGTTAAATATGTGCTGCTTTTTTTAGGGCACTAAAAATGAATAACTTGTACTTATTGGCAGTTATAACTGTAGATGAAGTAAATGAAGATTGGGCTCTGCATTAAATATGCATTTTTTATTCACCTGACTGCATTTGTAATCCTCTAGAGCTGAAATTTTATTTTTCCTCTGCAATGCTACATCAATTTTATATAAAGTTTATCTGCCAATGCCGATATATATGTACCAGGCCTACAATTCCCATGTCAGTGCATCCCTATCTGTGATTTGCTTACGCTAGAACTGTGCATATAAAGCAAAGCCCTAATATAGTGGCTTTTGATGGCAGAAATAAGTTCAATCGTGTGCAACTTACAACGATCTCAACATGATGAATATTATATATATTGAATATTTGACGATAATTTTACTTGACGATACCATTTTTGGCAGTGTACCAGTGCTTTATTGGCAGTAGAACCTTAACTGCAGCAGGTTTATAGGATATATCGATCAGGCGCTATATTATAGCAAGACATGAAGATGATGGGTTAGCAAATAGCTGCTTTATGCTAACAAACCTATTGCAGTTGCTGTTTCTTAATTTACAAGTAATAGTGAGAAAATTCTTTTTCAAAATAAGGCAACATATCACCAAATGTTTGATGGGCAGTGGATACATAATTACATACACAGAAGGAACGCTATAAGGGTCTTCAAATCAGGTGTGGTGGAGCTGGGAACTATACAGATCCTTTGAATAGGTGTGGATCCCCTTATCTGACTGTTATAATGTTAGCACGCAGAACTCATACATTTCAAATAATTGGTAGGAAAATTTAGAAAATGTTAGATGTGTTCAGAATGATGAACAGAGCTGCAGATGATTCTAAAATGAGAAACAACATTATAATAAAATGAAAACACATAATTTGACAAAAAAAAAAAAACTCTAAAAGATACTTACAGTATATTATTTAGCATTTAGTCTGCTCTTAATTTACTATCACATAAAATAATAGCAACTATTAACTGGACAAATGATACCAAAATTAAGGCAATGTGTCTGACCAGAAACCACGTAACATCCAATCTGGAAGAGCATCATCCTTCACTGGGGTGGCCACTTCAGCCTCAACAAACTGCAAGAATTGGTAGAGGGGTTATCACGGGCAAACTGAAGGCTTAGACACTTCGGGACCTTAAGCCAAAGAGGACGGTAATCCCTGTGCCCCAAATAGTGGTTTTGGACACGGAGCTAACCTTTCAGCAGCCACAATGGTCAGTACTATGCTAGTATAAATGTTGAAGCATGAGACGATAAGATAGTAAATGGTACGATCCAGAAGATCATTCAGTACGATGCTGGGCAAAGTGTCGGATCGTCAGATGACCAGGTGATGGACAGTACAATCCAGAAGATCATTCAGCACCATATTGGTCTAACTGTTGAAGCATCAGGTGATCAGGTGGTGGAAAGTACAGTCCAGATTCTCTGGCTCCATGCTGGAATAATGTTGAAGCATCAGAGGAGATAATGGAAGGTGTAATCCAGAAGATTGTCTGGCACCATGCTAGGTGTTGAAGCATTTGACAACCAGTTTCAGGTCCTGAATCTTAGAATTACTGATAGATAAATGAACTAACTGATAGGCTACTTAGTCTTAGAGCTAACAGCCACAAAAATCCAAGACCAGAAACTGAATTCAAGGTCCAAGTTTGAAAACCACTGCACTACAGGAACTCAAACATTCCAGAAAAGCTGGAGCTGGGTCAGGCCATAGCCACTGGGACGTCCCAAACAAGCTCCAACATCTGGTAAGCCACCTTTTTTTGGGAACTTGTGAAGGTAGTTCTGGTTGCCAGATGGAAGGACAATATTTTGGTCATCGTTCTTCCGTAAGGGTTGGAATTTCGATTCTGTGCAATTCTATTCCAAAGATCTCTTTCAAAACTGATCTAAATCAAATGTCCACACCATTAATCCATATACAATTCACCCCCTTTATTGGAAATAGTAACTAGTACCTGGACATAAAAAAAACAAATCAGTCCTTCAGTGATTAATGCTGTTTCATCACTGAATCCTTTTTGGCTCTGCTGATAAATCATCCTCAGCCAACTGTGGCAGCAGAAGCACACAGTGGACGATTTGAGTTTGATCCCACTCTGGAGACACCAAGCAGTCCCAAATCTCATCATAACTCATTAAAAACACAACCCAAACTTGTGCAATTAGATAGGACCTCAGAAATAATAATGACGATAAAAAAAACTTTTAGCATCTTGAGAAGAAGTACAAGACAGACCACTGGGTAAATGTCAAGTTGATTTGTTAATAACACTACATACACTGAAAAAAAACTACCATCAAACATTATTTGACCAATTTGTGAAAAGAAAGGCTTTTTTAAAGGGAACTGTACAATGTAGAAGAGTGCATACATACTGTCTGTCATGGCGAGCGGTTGGTATAGTAGCAGTTGAGATGTATCAAGATATACTGGGTTTTTCGAACAATAATATTTGATCTGGGCCTTTGTCCACAGCACATACGACAATCTTGGTTATTTCGTCTCGTCTTCTTTACTATCGAGCAGCCCTCAAAGACTGGAATATGTTCATATAGCGAATAAATAAAAAGGGCGCAGTCTTTAAAGTATCGCTTTTGATCGGCCGTTAGCCGCGAAGGCTAGACTGCATCTTAATACTGCATCAGCCATGTGTTGTGAAACAATCATGGCTGGCCCAAACATCATGAAGGATACTGCAGGCCACCAAACCCTTCACATATCTGAGAGAACAAAGAGGGCTTCTCCCCCACTGCTCTTCTCTTGCTCATTGCCCCGGACAAAGCAGTACTAGAATATGTGAAACACAAAGACAAAAACACAGTGAGAGCAGAGCTAACAGTAGTCCATACAGCAGGCAATAGATCAGTGAAAAAATCCAAATTTGCCCATTTTTGAACCTGCAGTTGATCAGCCAAGACATTTTTGGTGTTCTAAGTTTGCTTCTTAAGGCTTCCCTGGAGCCGAGAGGCTTATATAGCTAACAGCAGAAACTTAAGCTGCACCAGTTACAACAGCTTGCCTAAATTGCTAGCCTCAAACCATGCAGAGCTGTTGAGTATTCTCAAATCAGGGGCCTCTTTTATGAAGCACGCGGGTGAAGGTTCCTGCAGCTCCACTAAACCTAACAAATTCCAGCTATGGCTAACATGGCTAACGATAGTTAACAGCTTTCTCTTTTGATCCAGATTTAGATACTCATAAGACTGGTAGCAGCAAGTAATCCACCATCCTGAGAAAAAAAAAAATCCAGGGTTACATCAAACTAGATGTTAAAATAAGAGAGCTGCTTTGTGAGACAAACCGCAGCTTAGCTACATTAGCCTGATAGCTTCAGTGCAAAACTAAAGAAGCAAACTTAGCAACAAACATAACTAGCAAACATGGCTTTGCTAACCGACTACATTAAGGCTTTAGGGTAAAGGTGGACTATTTGCCTAACTATTCTTAACACTCAGACGGTTCAGCGACCACCAACCTCATTTCGGTTTCCCTCAGTAAATAACATGATGCCTCAGAGCTATTCGTCAAATTAGCAACAAGTAAGCAACAGAGCATCTCTACGACAGCAATGAATGCAGCGAAGCCACCAGGCACCGATATTCTTTTGTGCGAGGGAGGAAAGAAGTGAGGAGAAGCTGTACTTCAGGCATCAGGCACAAGGAGGAATGCTTAGTTACAATGAGGATTCCTTGCCTAATCGCTGCACCAGTACTGCACAAGCAGATACAACAGGTAGACTTGAACCAGGAGCTGGGGAAAGGTCTGGACCAAGCCCTCGCGAAACAAACGCGTTCGGCATCCATCACTTCTTTAATACCTTTCAGACTGATAAACACTAGACTGAAATCGGTGCTGCGTCCAAGTGCTAAGATAAGAGAGGTAAGCTGCTAATTTCCGATTGACACAATTCAGAATTACAAGCAGGAGATTCAGGAGACTTGGATGCTACACTAGTTTTAACAAAAAAAAATGCTTGTCCCAGATTAATGAACATCAGCTTCTCTGTATAATTTGTACAGGTGAACATACATCCATTCTTGGTCAGGCCTCCACAGGGCAACTGATTTCTGCATCTTCCCCACACTATGGCACTCACACACTCTTCGGTTGGACCACGTGACTAATACTAGCATCCGACGAGTGCTCCAAAGCAAGCATTAATATGACCCATCCCTAGCAGGGTCAGATTCCTGTGCCTCCACAGCTTTAAATCACTTCCTAACACTAAACTATATACACACACACATACACACTCACACGCACAGCACTCTTCCTCTTTTGTTCAATCTAGTTAACTTTCCTGCTGAGTTAAGTTAAAAATGTGTACTTAGGCTTTGTAGTGATACATGCATCCATTATACTGAAGTACATATATTTTCTTAAAAAATAAAAGTAAAAGATAAACAAAACAAAAACGGTATTAGAAACATAGCTATACAGAGTCTTTAGCAGTTCCAGGAGCGAGGTTTGGAAGGATGCGCCCCATGTCCAGAAGTGATGCAGAGTTAGTTGGGAGGTGAGGTGTGCGTTGGTGTGTCGGTGGTTAGTTGCTGCAGCAGGGCCCTTTGGCAGGCTGGGCAGTCTCGAGGTCCACTCCTCGGTTGCGGCCTGTGGTTGCTCCGGCAGACTGTGGCTCATTCTTGGGTAGTTTCTTTGCTGAAGAAAGAAAAATACGATGGATAAATGTTATTGAGGAGAGAAAAAAAAAACAGATTTACATAACAAATAGAAAGTTTGTGGCTAGGCCACTGCAAAGTAATTCCAAGTGGTTGCTAAGGTGTTTGCAAGGGTATCCCAGATGTATGTGTATATATGTGTGTGTGTGTGTGTGTGGGGGGGTGTATGAACGCTATACAAACACCGTACATGCGATCAGTCCCAAAAGCATAAGCACACTGTTCCCTTACAGCAGGAGTGCTAAGCACTGATCCTGGAGATCTACCACCCTGGAAAGTCGTTATCCAACACACCTGGCTCTAATGTTCAGACACCTCAAATGCCTTCATCAGTGTGTAAGATTAAGGCTGCAAGGTGGTAGAGCTCCAGGACCAGGACTGAGCACCTCTGCCGTATAGGCTCTATGATCCTGCTAAGCAGGTTCCAGCTCAAAAACTGCAACCTGTGAAAATTAAATTTAAAAAAGCACAGAGTTATAAAATGAAGAAAAGGAATTGGCTTTGTCAAGCCAACTTTGATTAACTACATTTATTATCAAGACATGTTCTTTAGTTTTAAGCAGGAGCTATGAGGCTAACCTAGCTAATGAGTATCGTATACCAGTTAGCATTATGCAAACTGCATGATTAATTCATCATCACATTGCTGGTTTCGACAGAGATTGACATACTGTTTTATATAAAAATGGGCAAAGTACAGTACGTCACAAAACCAGATGTGGGCAGCTGAGGTCCAGAAAGTTAACTGTTAAACAAAACAAAAAAAAAATGTTCTAATAGCCTGGCTTCACTAATTAGCTCAAAATAGGATCAGAGGCATCACTGTAGTTGGAACAAAACCCAGGGTTCCCATCTTTGCAGTCAGCAGCCATTTTAAAATTCAATTTGACAAATTGAAATTGAATTTTTAAATATAACAGCTTACAAAAGTCACTTATTTTCTTATAACTTTCTCCTTCCTTATGCAAGTGGATGATCATATATAGAAACTCCCCAGAAAAGAATAACTCGCTCTTAATCGCCATTTTGACCGGAAATTAAATAAATAAATAAATAAATAAATGGTCTCTGGCTCTGACACAGTCCTGCAAAATTACATGTATCTACATTAGCCTTGCAAAACGTCATTCTCAAAACTGCCTTCATTTTATTTGTTTCCAAGTTTCACTTTAACTCAAAAAGTCTAACATGGTCAATGAAAGCTTGCAGGGTCAGGGCTACTGAGGAGACCGATATAGTAAAAAGTTCTAAAGCCCCAATTAGTTTTTTAAAAAATATCAAGAAGTATCAGCATTGATTTTTATTTAACATCACTTACTGAATTATGTGCCAAGCTAAATTCAATTACAACAGAGAACTATCACAACATACTCAGAAAAGCATACCATGACATCGTTATCATGATAACGATAAATATTGTCATATTGCCCATACCTACTGGCTACCATTATAAAGCTACTGGTCCCTCTTTGCAGTCTGAATGAGGTCCTTCCATTTCTCTGGCAAATGTGCTAAAAGACACTTACCAATAGCCATAAAAATCTCGTTCACGTTCATTGACGTCTTCGCTGATGTTTCCATAAAAAGCAGACTGTTGTCGTCTGCGTAAGACTGTGCATCCTGCAAGCAAAAAGAGAGCGATTCAACAACCGTGCAATGCAAAGACACTGCAGCTATAAAAAAAAACAACTGAGCATTACAGACAAACCTGAAAGTCCAGTGCTCTCTTGTTTGCAAGGTCCGCCTTGTTTCCAGCCAAAGCTATTACAATATTGGGACTTGCTTGCCTCTGAAGTTCTTTAACCCAGTTCTTTGCACGTGCAAATGATTCCTGCCAAAGAAAGGAAGATAACAGATTACTTCCTCTGGATAATTGCTTGCATACTATTTCAAGGAAAAAGGAAATTCATGTCACATCAGTAGCTATTGTTTGTTCTCTTTTGCAGAGTAAAGTGCGAGTATGCAATTATGGAGACTGTTGCTCATGTTAAAGGGACAGGCTTGTGATATATCGCTTGTTCATGACTGATTTTACAAAATTTCTGCATAATTCGAGATGTAAACAAAGTAATTCAAAGTGGTTTGATGTGAAATGCTCCAATGTTAAGAAACGTATCGAGTCAGACTTGTTCACAATGGTGGAAACCAGACGTTTGAAGCGCCTCTAAAAGCTCCCTCGCAGAAAGTTTACATGAAATTGTTCTGAATACATTGCCTGATGCCTGAGACATTGTTTTTTGAAAGCTTTGAGATGAGATTTTGAGCCAAAACATATTTGTAAACCCATTCATGGTGTAGAGTCACATGCAGGGTGTTATACGGGAAAACAGTCCCCAAAGAAAACTTATTTTTCTGATTTACCACTATTTAATCTTTGTCAACATTACCTGTACAAAGTCAGACGACATGTAGGTTCACCAGTCATTTTGAACAGTAAATAAAATAGCTGTATCTCAATTGTGGACATTGTGATCCCTGGTTCCCATCAGTAAGTTTTCATTTCACAATAAACCACTCTTCATTACTTTGTTTACAACTCAACCACCGAATTATCAGAACTTACAAAAGTCGAATCCCCCTTTAATCAGTACTGACACTGCAGAAGACACTGTAACATGCAAAGGAACCTTTGTGTTATGAACATCGTGACCAATCACAGACATTTCTTGGTGATTTTTCTGTGCTATTTTGACAAATCACACCACTCACATGAATGTAAACAATAATTCAAGCCAGTGTTTAAACGAGACACTATTGATTCACCCATGCATTTTTAATACACATATTATAATGAATCATTTCACATATCATAACTGGACTACGCAGCAGAACAATCACAATGTATTCTATCCATATCATGCAGCCCTGGTCAGGCAAAAGTGAGATGCACAGACTCACTTCGTTCGTGATGTCGTACACCACTATGGCAGCCTGCGCTCCTCTGTAATACATGGGAGCCAAACTGTGGTAGCGCTCCTGACCAGCTGTGTCCCAGATTTCAAACTTCACTGTCGTGTCGTCCAAACATACTGTCTGAGTCAGGAAGGCAGCTGAGGAAGTGAGAAAAACAATGGCAGATCAGATAAGTGCTAAATTCAGTAAGGTTAAAGAACAGTTTGGCCAAAACCTACAATTTACACAACTTTCCTCTAAATACATGTTTGGTGTCTGAAGTTTGCTTCTTTAGTTTTGCACTGGAGCTGTGAGGCTAAATGTAGCTAAAAAGTAAAATAGTTGTGGCCTAGCAATTCAGAATAATGAACTAAATCATAACACACTTGTAAGTAACAGACTTTTTGTGATTTCCAACACTAAATGCTGTACAGATATCTTTAAAAATGGGCTGAAGCACAGAGCATACCTAAAAAGAGTAGTAGCAGCCATCTGCAGGCATTGATCGTTTAAAATAATAAACAAAAATCACTCTCTTGCTCAATTTTCCTTCCCTCTAAATATATGCTCAGAACAAAAATCATGACATTTCTAGAGATAATGAAGTTTTATTCCAGAACCTATTAAGCTTGATTCCCACATTCCCTGCAGTTCCTTTGCACTGATCAGTTGGCTACTTCTGCACTGCATGGGCAAGGCCACACCCCTGAACTACATCATCTTAGCACTGCAACAACCAAGGATCTGTTAAAATAATAAACATTTTTACTCCAAGTCTTTCAATATGTCAACATACACACTGCTGAAAGTCTACGAAAGACACAACAGTTGCTGTTGATATAAATAACCCAAACTGCAACAAAACATGTCATTTGTATTGAAAAACACTACCATGTGTTGAAAACACGTTGTGGCAGAAGATTTTACAAAGAATTTAAAAGTTTGGACTTTTGAATCACCATTCAAATCCAGACTGGAGCTCAGTATTTCTGTGGACACTACACAGAAACAGAAAACCCGAATCTGTAATAACTGAGCTAACACTGAGTGCGTTTACATGCACTCAATAATCCGATCATAATCAGATTTCTGCAATTATCTGATCACTTAGATGATCATGTAAACAGTATACTCTGATTTCTTAGATCAGAGTAAAGTCTAAAAATCTGATTAAAAAAATCTGATAAAGAGAGCTGAATTTTAGCTCAGTAATTAGATTTCTCAGCACATGTAGATTCTTTCGGTTTCTTTCTTACTCTGATTTCTCAGTCTGTGCATGTGCGAAAACACACCGCAGCACTGCCGCAAGATGGCAGCAAAACACTTCTGGAGCGACGCTGACACCAAGTAAAAAAAATGAATATAATAAACGATTTAAATATTCTTTATCTTCTAGATGATGTATATTCATAGTTTCAGGTAAAGTGGAGCGATTTTAAAAGCCGCGGCAAGAAGTCTCGTCTTCTGCGAATTCCCATTATCTGATTATTACGTGCGTGTAAACGCACTGCATTCGCAGTTTGTTAGACTACCTTTTCTGTTGTGCGTTAGTGGATTAACTGTTACCATTTCTGGCATGTGCATGTTTGAAGGGATTGAGTGACTGCATGTAGAGTATATAGACCGTGCACATCATGCTGCTGCAGTAATTCTTGGGTCCTATTTTTTCTTCTTTTTTTTTGATAAAGATAAAAGACACCGCTGGTCTGTTTATTCCTTATTTTAATCTCTGCAATGGCTTTAATTTTTTTCAAACCTCTGAAATAAAAGCACTTTCTGACAAAAGATTTCTGCATATGTACGCACTATTGCATAGAGGCTCTACAGTCTTCTGTTTCCCTACAAAGACTGACCTGAAAGTTGGTAAGCTGTACAATACATGGATGAAATCCATAGCATATTCATAGTCATTTTTGTCATTTAATAATCTCAAGGCTTGGGTTTTATGTGTGGGAAAAAGAGTTTAAATGAGGCATGTCACCTTTTACAAAGACTCTGTCTGCATTTTTGATTTTGCTCTACCTTTCCAGACTGGCAGAAGGAAGATTACCTAATACTATGTATTGTAGATTAGCTGCAAGCTTTGGAAAAGCCCAGTGCCATCAGGAAAACACTGAAGCACAGAAATATTTACCACAGGGAAGCTGACTGTAAACAAAAGCTCTACTTCCTTAATATCCCCAGTTCATACGAGTTTTACCTCCTATCGTGCTCTCCTGAAACTCATGAAACTGGCCTTTGACGAAGCGGAGGACCAGGCTGGATTTGCCCACTGCAGACTCTCCGAGCAGCACGAGTTTGAACTGACAGATTTTGTTGCTGGCTGCATTCGGCCCATTAGGTCTCGTAGCTCCACCTCTTCCTGCCATGACCCAGACGCCAGTCACCTGTTCAGGACTAAAGGTGATTTCCGACTGATGAATCTGAACAGAGAAAAGGAAAAAAAAAGGTGCTTGATCAAAACAGTGGCTCTAAGGCCTACAGAAATGGTGTTGCAGTATACTGAAATCAACAACTCCAGGGCTAATACAATACAATGTCTATTATTAGTAATCACAATACTGGCCTGCAAATGCATTCTTTAGCCAATCACCAATTTTTTTTTTAACTGTTTGCTTGAAGCCTCATAGCCAATCACAATAGCAGATCTGTTCCTGTGATTGTTTTGATGAGTTGAGATTAATTTCATTAAACAAAAATGTCATTTTGGTCAAAGTTAAAGGCTGACCTCACATAATGCGTTTTAGTGCATTGAATGGCACATCACAAATAATTGCAATGGCAGCATTTTGGTACTCTAACAACTTTTCAAACATCAACATTTCTGCATACTTCCGTTACAAAGATCATTCTGATGTCAAATAGTTCACTGTACAGAAACTTGCTGACTCTTTACAGTGGTGGTGATAGGAACCAGGCGTCACAATGTCTACAACACAAATATAGCTATTTTATTTACTACCCAAAACCACCAGTGAACTTAAACCTGTCTTAAATTAGTTACTGTAACAACTTTCTGTGAGAGAGCTTTTAGACGTGTAAGGCTCTTCAGACATCTGGTTCCTATCACCACTATTGTGAACAGATTTGACTCCAAGTTTCTCTTGAACAGAGCACTTCACAACAAAACATTTTGAAAACATTTTTGAAACATTTTGTTGATGTGTTAACCATTTAATTTTGCAGAAATGGGGAAAAATTGGTGGAGTTCCCCTTTGTGCATTACATATCTGGAGAAACCGTGTACATTGGTGATACCAGCAGACAGCTTAGCTGTACATATTAACCATTTATTTAGACAGAAATTTTGAAAAATCTGTGGAATTCCACTTCAAGAATGAACCTTGAACATACTCACAAATCCCTCTGCATGAGCCTGCTTCACTCAAACTGTGTTTTAAGAAAGCTTGTAAAACTGCTGTTTGTCTTTACAGAAGATGTACCTGCAAACACTCAAGCCTGTTGTAGGAATACTAAACACTTTGCCCCTTGACCTAAGAGTCTGCAGAAGCACTGCTTATCTTATCTGACCATTGACTGCAGATGCTTACTATCCGCAGGCCAACATGATATACCTGCAGTTTCATTTCACATCCATGATCCACCTGCTATTACGTTTATCTGACCTAACACACGTCGTGACATCAGTGTCAGTCCACAAATAGCAAACAAACCAACCTGTGTAACAGCAGCATTATATAATGTAATACACTTTAGGTACATTATATTACACAATATTGTCATTACATCAACACCTGCCCCCATTCACTTACTAACTCAGCAAACATGGGTGGAATAAAGTACTTAAAGGGGAATCACACTGAATTTTCAAAATTTCTGCATAATTCAGTGATTGAGCTGTGAATAAACACAGTTGATGTGAAGTGTTTCACTGTAGAGATAGATTTCTTTACAGTGGTGGTGATAGGAACCAGGCGTCACCATGTCTACAACACAGATATAGCCATTTTATTTAATATTCAAAACCACCAGTGAACCTACATGTGTCTTCTAATTTTGTATATGTGATGATGAGTGTAAAATGGTGGTACATTTTTGGGACTATTTCGCCTCACAATGCCCTGCATGTGCAACTCCGCCATGAATGGCTTTTGAAAATAAGTTTTAGGCCAAATCCTTACCTTAAAACGTGAGTGAAAAATGTCTGCATATTCGTAACCATATAATACAGTGACTTTCTGAGGGAGCTTTAAGAGGCATTAAACTCTTCAGACGTCCGGTTCCTATCACCACCACTGTGAACAATTCTGACTGTGCAGGTTTCTCTGATGTGAAATGCTCCTTCTCTAAGGAGAAAACCACTCTGAATGACTTTGTTTATATCTTGCTTATATCTCAACCGTTTAATCATGTAGAAATTTTTGAAAAATCGGTGGAATTCTCCTTTACACTATATGTAAAGAGACATGACTTTTTTGACAGCTTTCTAAGCGCTGTTATAAGATAAAGCACGTGATTTTCTCAGTCTAGCTCTGCAATGACAACTTCTGGGTTAGCAAAACATCACTGACCAGCTATGAAGAGACAGATACGAAAAGCTAACTTAGCTAGCTAGTTAGCTAACAAACAACACCCACAAGAAAGAAGCGAGGTGGTGCACTACGATCTCAGTGGTTATGCAGCTTGTAAATAGTCTTAAAACGACTTATTGGCATGAGAGAAAAAGAACCTTGTAAGCCAAATATCTCCTCTCATAAATGCTAACTACAGCTGGCTACCTAACCGACAGCACTGTAATCACTGTAATGACAGAGGTTTGTAGCAAGCTAGCCGGTTAGCAGCGTAACGTTAGTGTTCCACACAGTAATAACAGCTTTATCAGGATTGTAGTTCAAATTCAGATAGAAATCAGCTCTCTAACTGTAAATCCATCTAATTACAAATATTTATGACCATTTATGACGCGAAGAAGTGATCCAATTAGCTAAAGGCTAGGAATACAGAATTACACTAAGTTAGCTAAGTCAGCTTTCTATTCGCCAGCTTCTTGTTCGAATTTTCCCGTTCCACCTTAAATGGTGCAGCAGTTACATTCTGAACCTCAGGCGCCAGAACGTAACTGCTGCACCATTTAAGGTGGAACGGGAAAATTCGAACAAGAAGCTGGCGAATAGAAAGCTGACTTCACTTTCGTTATAACTAACGACCTCCCTTCGTAAACTACACGTTATATTATTGACTGTGGAGGTGTTTCATAGCAATTTGAGCTACTAAGACACATAAAAAATATGACAGGCCGCAATTCAAGCGACGACCTGCTGCTAACTAGCGACTAGCATGAGAGCTTTAGCCGCGACGAAGGCAAAACAACCCCTGCGAAAGCCCTATCGTTACCTGCTTTCCTGTTTTCCAGATGAGCCGGAGGGTTTTCAGGGAGTCGGTTGAGCTACAGACCAAAGCTAAAGAGAAACCCGAGCCACAGGAGCAGCAGAGGAGCGCAGCTTGAACCTTCTTCACCGTTTGTTTTTTCGCAACTTCCCCCCCTTTACATGCAAACGGGTGACAGAACGGATGACTGGAATTGACAACTGATGACGCAGCGGAGTGAGCCAGCCAATCAGGATGCAAAATCTCGCAGCTGTATTCCCCATTCACAAGGGTGACTTCAGGTAAAGAAGGTAAAAGGGAATGAAATAATAAAATACAATCATTTTATTTACATTGATAATTTAGTGGTTTACGCCCTTAAATGCTCTGGTTCTAGGCTTTTACTCCTCACTTTTATCATTTAAAGGTGCATTCTGGCCTAAAAGTAGTTCAAATTGTAGTGTTTTGTCAAAACAAAGCATGTTCTTAAAAAAGATGGCACTTCAAGGGCTTTTAGTAAAGAAAACACTCAAAGATCCATTTGTAGGATTAAATAATTCTTTGTATGGTGAAATGGTTCTTCGTTACTCTAAGTTCGAAAGCTCAAGAATGACAGTCCCACTTCTGACACCATTGTAGTGTTCTCAGAAGAAGCACAAAGAACTCCCCCCTCTCTCAGCTCAGACACACATACACTCAGCTCAGGGGTGGTTCCTAACCCTGCCCTTCACAGTCCTTAGCAAAATGAACCAAGCAAACAATCACTGGAGAACAAATAACCTAAAACCAACATGCACAACATTTCTTGAACTAACTAAAGCGCAGGCATGCTCTGACACCACATTGTTATTTGTCATGTAATGTAATATTCTCTAGCTCAGTGATGAATTTTCTGTCCTTCTTCTGTTTCTGTTTATCAATGTTCTGCATACCCAGCATGCACTGTACAAATGCTACAACACGCCACCCAACAACATCCCCCAATGCCAGTAGAGAAGTGCAGTGATGTAGAGGCTGAGAAATACTGACCACTGATTCAGTTTACTGGCAGTATCATTAGCTATCTGGCTTCCTTTTGCATTAGCCATCTTGCAGGAAAAAAAATTACAATAAAATACAAAAAGTAATTAAACAGTCCCTCCCACCTTTAAAATATATTATTGTAAGGGGAGGGTTTAGGCTTTAAATCAGAAAATCAAGTCACCATGTTCACAACAGACAAAGCAGTGGTTACTTTTTTCATTTTTAGTGTTGTTTTCCACATTTAGTCTTTGATAAAATTATAATCCTCCATGCTGAGGGGAGTTTATGAAGCCTCCAACAACCCCTGTATAAACAGATCCTGCTCTACCACACACACTACACGCCTAATCCACACCCTTATAACCGGTTTGTAATTTGAATTAAAACCGAAAGCAGCCCTCTTAACCAACCTCAGCCGTAACTCGCTGCACTTTAACACACATTGCCAGCTAAGCTGTCTGCTGGTGTCACCAACATACACTGTTTCTCCAGATACAGTAATGCACATGATGAACTAATGAACTTTTTTGGATGAGATGAATGAGATCACCTTCATGCCTCCAAGACTATAGTTGGGGCCTTTCGTTTAAAACTAAAACAACATAAATGGTAAAACATCAACAATTTCAAATATTGAATAAGGTTTACTTCTTTTGTTATAAGAATTTTTCTTGTTCTTAAAGGGGAACTCCACAATTTTTTCAAATTTTTGCATAATTAAATGGTTAAAATGTCAACAAAGTCATTCAGAGTGGTTTAGTGTGAAACGCTTCGCTCTAGAGAAACTTACTGAGTCAGAATTGTTCACAGTGGTGGTTATAGGAACGACATCCACCTCTAAAAGCTCTCTCACTGACAGTTATTACATGAAATAGTTATGAATATGCTGCCTGATCTCTAAAACATTGTTTTATGATAGTTCTGTTATAAAGTTTTGGTCTAAAACATATTTTAATCTATTAATGGTGGAGGGATAGAAGAAGGCTGTTCTGAGGCAAATAGTCCCCAAAGAAAATGTTTTTTTTTATTTTTTAGATTGATCAATTTTACCATCATCAACATGACATATATAAACTCAAAAGATATGTAGGTTCCCTGGTGGTTTTGGATAGTAAATAAAATGACTATATTTGTAGACATCAGGACCCCTGGTTCCTATCACCATCACTGTACATTAATCTGAGTACACAAGTTTCTCTACAAATAAGCCATTTCACATCAAACTACTGTGAATGACTTTGTTTACATCTCAACCACTGAATTATACAGAAATGTTGAAAAATTCCCGTTTAAGAAACTAAAGGCAATAAAGCGCAGACGTTCTGAAAATAATGCAAACGATCCCATTACTGACAGCCGCAGGGTAGTAAACACAAGACCGCTCAACGGTGTGAATATCCTAGAAATATCCTCACCATGTCTTCATGGTGTTTATGATAATGTATATCATTGATAATGTATGTCAGGTCTAATCCACTGCTTGTTTAATAGACCTGAAGTCTCAGTGAGGTGAACGCGTCAGAATGCGTTGCCTAGTAACAGGATGTAAACATTCTGTCGGTAACGTTTTGCAGCGCTGGCTTGGCTAGACGACCTGCTTCGTTCTTCGCTATTAAATAACGAATGCGCTGTTATCCGGACATTACTGAGCGCTTACGATGACTCTTTCAGAGAAGAACACGACCACCTGGAGACGCAGGGACACGTTTCCAAATATTAGAGCGGTAAGTTTACCACTCTAAACTCTAAGAACTCTAACTAACTAGCTACGAGTTCGCTTCCTGCTAATGCAGCAGTTGTGGCCAGATACTAGCTAACTACCTGTTTGCAGTGCAAGCTGGTGTTTTAGTACATCTCTGTACTAAGAAACCTAAGGAGCCTCTAAGGTGATACGACGATTATTTTTTATTTCTTTTATTTTTAATATGTTTCTCATAACTCAGGGCCTTAATATATTAAAACGTGGCCTCAGTATAGTCATTTATAGCCTCAATATATTAATTTATGGCCTCAGTATATTAATTTGTGGCCTCAGAATAGTAATTCATGGCCTCAATATATTAATTTGTGGCATCAGTATATTAATTTGTAGCCTTAATGTAGTAATTTATATCCTCAATATATTAATGTATGGCCTCAGTATATTAATATGTAGTCTCAGCATAGTAATTTGTGGCCTCCGCATAGTAAATTATGGCCTCAGTATATTCATTTGTAGCCTCAATATAGTAATTTATATCCTGAATATATTAATTTATGGCCTCAGTATATTAATTTGTAGCCTTAATATATTAATTTGTGGCCTCAGTATATTAATTTGTAGTCTCAATATAGTAATTTATGGCCTCGGTATATTCATTTGTGGCCTCAGTATATTAATTTGTAGCCTCAATATCGTAATTTGTGGCCTCAATATATTAATTTATGGCCTCACAATAGTAATTTGTGGCCTCAGTAGCCAGTAGCCATTTATGGGCTCAGTTGCAGGGAGAGTTGTTCTCTCTTTCCTCTTAAAGGTGCAAACACCCACCCCCCACAATGAGGTGGAAGCCAATGATGTGGCAGAAATATGGGGCGGCATCTGAGGTGGACAGTCAGATATCAGTAGAGGCTCTGGCCACTTCAGCCACCCCTTTAAAACATGAATCTTTGGCCTCAATATAGTAAATTGTCACCTTGATACAGTAACTCCTGGCATCAAAATAGTAATTTGTGGCCCTGCCTAGTTAAAAAATAATCACCATGCCACTTTAGGGGCTCTGTAGAAACCAAAAGTTCCAAGTGACTAATAATCTTCTTTTCTTCAAAAAGGCAGGGAAAGTCATACCACTAGGCGACAGGGCAAAGGCCTGTCTGCAGGAAATAACACCAAGGGTGAGTTTTCTCTCGCTCTGTGTGCTTTATTAGCCTGTGAATTAGGTTGATGGCGATACACATATGAGCTTTGAAGGCGTCTCTTGGCCCGTTTTTTGGGCATTTTATTAGAAATTCTGTGTGAACTTGTTAGCTTGTTAAAATGGAATTCCACTGATTTTTAACATTTCTGCACAATTAAATCATTAAGATGTACACAAAGTAATTCAGAGTGGTTTGGTGTGAAATGCTTCATTCTAGAGAAACATTCTAGAGAAAGCTCCCTCACAGAAATGTATTACATAAAATTATCACAAACACTCTGCCTGATGTCTGAGACACTGTTTTACTGTAGTTTTGAGATTAGCTTTTGGCAAAACATGTTTCTTTTAATAATTAATGGCAGAGAGGTCAATGCAATGTGTTCTGAGGCAAAATAGTCCCCAATAAAACATTTTTTCCCCAGATTTACTGCTATTTTTATCATTATCAACATTCAATATAAAAACGTGAATGTGTAGGTTCACTGGTGGTTTTGCATAGTACATAAAGTGGCTATATTTGTGTTGTAGTCACTGTGACCCCTGGTTCCTATCACCACCACTGTAAAGAAACCTGAGTCAGTACATTTCTCTACAATGAAGCATTTCACATTAAACCACTCTGAACGACTTTGTTTACATTGTAACAATTTAACTATGCAATTTTTGTAAAATGGGTGGAATTCCCCTTCAAAGCGATGAATGAAATACAAAAGATATTTTGTTTGCTCAAACATGACTCCTAACTTTGCGCTTCCCTGCAGACTGCCACACCTCCAGTGGTTAGGAAATTTCTCAGCAGCACCCGGCCGGAGGCAGGAGTGATCCGGGTGTTCTTTGGAAAAGCGAATGACCCTGATATTGCCAGTACACTAGTCCATGGAATAAGCACAAGACCGTCCATCACTGTAAATACCCTAACCATGTTAATACATTGCTTATGATAAAAGAGGCCATTATAAGAAGTTCTAACTCACTGTTTGTTCTTTTTTTTGTAATATGTTGGCAGTTTTATTCAATATGTGAGAGTCACTACAATGATTAGACTATGAATGTTCATTTTGTTGTTGGTTTACACAGAGTGGATCTGTGATCAACCCACAGCCTAAGACTCGCTACCAGGAGAGGCTTTGTGAGCTTCAGGAGGCCATTTATGACAGCAAACAGAAAGCTCCTCTTGGAAGGTCCCAAGTTAAGGGTCCCGGGCTTCCAGACTGGATTGACCCTGAGAAAACAGCGTTTGGTGTTAAATCGCTTCTCCGTAAGAGTCATAACAGAATCATATCCAGGGCTACTGGGTGGGCAGTATGACAGTACTGTGGTACTGTTATTGTGATAAATTAAGCCACGGTACTGTTTTATGATTTTAAAATGGTTAGTTCCGCTCCTAAAATCTGATTGGCTGAGCTGCGTTCAAAACCATTCCAAAATCCATGATATACGCACACTGACCGCACAACAACTGAATTGTGTATTACTGCACCATGGCACGAAAAAATGGAATAATCTTTGAAGTTTATGCTGCTCACATGGACCGCAGAGTATACTGATAAAGTAAGAACCTGTTTTTTTGTTTAAACTGAGGGTGTAGCAACTTATGTTCTTAACTAGAACTATGCTGTTCAGCGAGCTAGCAGGCTAAAAGATAGCTAACAGCCTAAACAACTCCATCATTAATATCACAGGCTTGAATTAAAGTCCTTATGGTATAATTAACTGTAAAACGACAGTATAAAAGTCTAAAAATGTCACTTGAATGGATTACACGCTTCAAATGTTCATGTTTCAGTCAGGAGTAGCATCAAACCCAAGCTGAATCCCAAACGGCTCTGTACTCCCTAAATAGTGTATGAAAAATAGCTATGAAAGTTTAGAAAGTCTAGCCTCTACAAATAGTGCACTATTTATTGAGTATGGATGTGTCAAATGACTATTTCTTAGCTATATTTTGCACTGTTGGGCTGCAGGATCCAGTATTTAAATTCCAACGTAGTGCACTATGTAGGGAGCAGGGAGCCGTTTGAGATTCAGCCCCAGCACGACGAGGGGAGGGTGCTAAATAAGACTCGTGGTGGTAATTTGGAGACCGAAATGTACTTATAAAGCAATGTTTTAGCATTAAACAGTGCTGTGTTATCATATATTAATTGTTATATGACAAAAAGTTTAGAAATTCATGAAATTACTGCAATTTGCAGCGATGGGCGACCGAACGTTCTTCTTATTCCGTGGTCCATGGTTGCTTGGCAACGATAGCACACTGTAAAGGAATTACATTTCTTGGCGGAATGCTTATGTCAATTATTATTAATAATAACTTAAATTATTTTCTGAAATTGTGTTTTTTATCATATTTTATGTTGGCCACCATTTTATAAAATAAGCCACCTGAGGCCACCCTCGGCTAGTGCCTGCGACCAAATCACAGCCGTGATGTTATTTCGCGATAACACACTCCCTCTTGTGTTCTATTGCTTTAGTATATCGCAGATGTCTTCAGTATTAGAACACTTCAGCTGCATGTGTCATAATGAACATACAGTCAGACCAGTTATTGAGAACCTGTGAACAATAGTCAGTGTAGAGTAACTGTAAAAACTGCATAGTAACAAGTAGCTGACTATTTCAGGCCATTATGACATCATCTAGTTTTATTCATTTATTTATTGTTTTTTCCTTCTGCTCATTGGAATAAAAACACATTTTTGGCATTTTGTCTATTGCAGCTTGTTTGCAAACCTCTGAAATGTGATATATTTTGTGTATCTTCAAAAATGTCATCAAATTTGTGCCATATTGCCTGCACTGTTATATTAAAGGGGCATTTCAGTGATTTTTAAAAACATGTGTATAACTAAATGGTTAAGATGTAAACAAAGTCATTAAGAATCGTTTAATGCCAAATGTGCCATTTTAGAGAAACTGAGTCAGAATTGTTCACAGTGATGGTGATAGGAACCAGACGTCCACCTCTAAAAGCTCCCTCACAGAAAGTTATTAAATGAAATGGCTATGAATACGCTGCCTGATGCCTAAGACGTTGTTTTATGACAGATTTGCGATAAATTTTTAGCCTAAAGCATATTTGTATAATAGCAGATCATTTAAAGTAAACATAGTCCCTTAAGAAAATGTATTTTTTCAGATGCACCACTATTGTATTGTCATCAGCATTACACATAAAACTCAGAAGACACATGGAGGTTTACTGTTGGTTTTGGATAGTAAATAAAAAGGCTATATCTGTGTTGTAGTCATGGTGACCCCTGGTTCTTATCACCACCACTGTAAAGAAATCAGAGTCAGTAAGTTTCTCTACAATGAGCCATTTCACATCAAACCACTCTGTTTGACTCTGTCTACATCTCACTTGTTGAATTAGGCAGAATTTTAGAAAAATCAGTGGAATTCCCCTTTAACTACTGAAGGCTTCATTACTTGGCTTAAACTTCAGGTTCATCTTTTACAGCATCATTACAAATTAATTGTTGTGATGTCCCTCCTTGTTGAATCTCTGCAGCTTGTAACGCTGGCGAGATCATCAATCCCCCCAAAACAGCGGGGCAGGTGGAAAAGGAGGCGCAGGAAGGACATGAGCAGTATGTTCGCTCACATAGCTCCTACTTTGTCGGTAAGAGTTTATCAGCACAGTTCATCAACAGCTAGTGCTGATGCCTCTGTTTTATATTCAGCTATTTTCTGCTTTGTGCTTTGGGTTATATACATGTTTCTGTTTCATGCATTTGATTCTATTTGAGTTATATTTTACCAAAATCTCCTGAAATTTTGATATTTGGGTGTGTTTTTTGTTTGCTATCTCAGGTGAGCGTGTGGATAGAAGATACAACAAGAGTACATACAGTAAGGACAGCAGGTTTGGTGTGTCCACTCCCCATCGCCATGACGGACACAACGTGTTCAGGTCTCTCCATTGGCTCGGCGACATGCAGGCGTAAGCGTCTCATTCGGACTGATGCCTTAAATGAATCAGTGTACTATGATGCATTGATCTGCAGGTGGTGAATATGTTATGTTAGAATAGGGTATGATTTTAATCATATTTAAAGGGGAATTCCAACAATTTTTTAATTTTCTGCCTGCTTCAGTCATCCAGACATAAACCAAGTCATTCAGAGTGGCTTGATGTGAAATTGTGCATTGTGGAGAAACATACTGACTCAGATTTCTTTACAGTGGTGGTGATGGGAACCAGGGGTCACCATGTCTACAACACAAATATAGACATTTTATTTACTATCCAAAACCACCAGTGAACCCACATGTGTCTTCTGAGTTTTTATATGTAATGTTGTCGATGGTAAAATAGTTGTAAATTGTCCAAAATAACATGTTTTCACTGGCTATTATTTTACCTCACAAAGCCTTGTACGACATATATGTGGTGTAGGTAGCATTAGCGATTAGCCATTTGTGAGTTGCTATTTTATTTATGAACGAATGATCCAGCGAGTGAATTTATGTCCACCTTCAAAATGCATCATTAGAAGGGGACTTTTCTAGTCTTTAAACCCGGGACTGATGCGGCGCCACAGTAAGAGGCGAGTAGGCATGTTTACAGCAGATGTAGTGAATTTTTCATTTTGGTCAGAGTGTCTCTTTAAGGCTCTATAGAGTTCTGTGGGAATGGATGTAAACATTTTAGAGTTACACTCTAATTGTGGATAATAATGTATGAAGTTTGAATATTAATAACATCTTCGGTAGAGTTGCAGCCCTCTAGAGCTCAGCCTTTGAGATGTATTTTGGGAGGTATTTAAAGACAGGTCACCAGCTTATTATCAGTACTAGACTTTGTGAAACGAATACAAAAGAATGCAGAGCTTATGGACCCGTTTTTACAGATGTAAAGTTTACGAATGTAACACATTAAAATGAATCTTTATATCCTGAAGGAACTACAGTGCAAAACTTGTCTCAAAGCGATGTGAAGACTTCAGAGAGAGGACACAGCCGCAGATAGGCAAAGTTCATGACCCGTAAGTCCTAATCAACCACATTCAGTATACAGTCGTAAGCAAAGGTTTGAACACCCCGGTCAAATGACAAGTTCTGTTGATCTGAAAATGAGTGAAAATAAGTTTACACATCCTTTACGGAGAACAAACTTAGATATTTTTTACTGCAAATTTGCATTTTTCAGCAAGTGTTTGTGCACAGTTTCTGTCTATTTGCTGAGTTTTACATTTAGGAACAAAAAATAAAACATAAAATGTGTTTAAATGTGCCAAAACTTCACAAAGGCCACATTTTATGTTTCATTTTCCAGCAAAACATGGAATACAGGGCTTTTCAGTGCATCACTTTCGTTTATAATGAGTCACAGGGAAATCATTAGCCTCTACTCATCTGTTCTAGAATTGCAGACACCTTGAGGGTCCCAGCTGACCACACATTTGGAGTTTTGCTGCCTCCAGACAAGTTTGGTAATGTGGATACAGCAATCAATCTAACCAGCTCTGTCTCTGCAACATTAAAGTGATAGTTTAGCAAAAATTATATATGCACAATCCCCCCCCACCATACCCCAAATGTAGTCATGTTTGGTGTCTGAAGTTTGCTTTGTTAGTTTTATGCTGGAGCTATGAGGCTAATATAGCTAACAAGCAATGGAAGCTTATACAGAGTTATTATAAAGGAGGAGGAGACAGTTCACGCTCAATGTTGTGTCTGTTTACAGGGAAAGTCCCACATTTTAATAAAAAGAGCCATTCAGCTTGTTGGTAAAGCAGGAGAATCCACTCTCATTTGTGGAGATTTGCATATGCACAGTAGCCAGAACAAACTGAAACAACATGTTTTTGTGCACTATTTGAGCCAAATTCAATAAATAATTGTGATTTTTTTTTTCAGATTTTATTAGTGTTTAGTAATTAGTAGTGTTGCCAAAAGGGCTGCTAGGTCTACTGACTTTCCTATATGGACTTTGGCTTATACCCCACCAATTAGCATTGTGCAAACTGCGTGCCCAAATTGTCACACATTTGCCTCATACTATCTGAAATAGACTTGCTTATGTGGTTACTGACACTGTATGACTTTAGTCCATTTTATCCATGATGCTAATTGGTGGGGTATAAGCCTCAATTACTTGTTAACTACACTAGCCTTGTGTAACATGTCTTGGCTGAGCAACTGCATTTATGATAAGTGCAAATGTTGATTTTTCACTAAACTATCACTTTGAAATCTCACTGGGAGAGTTTGTGGGGAATGATTTTGGTGTAAAAAAATCTGAGTGCTATAATATTCAGAGTAGGACCGTTCAGTAGTATAGTTCATTATAAGACTGTTCCTCCATACTGAAGAGAGCTTCTGGGACCCTCCAGGTGCAGGTGACCTCCTCCACTCCACCCCACCTTCAGAGCACGTGAGGGGGCAGGACAGGAGGCGTGCTCTGGTCAGCGCCGTACAACAGCACTTGAAGAAGGCCAACTTCCACAACTTTACTTCCCTGCTGCAAGCATTCAGACACTACGACAAGGTCAGAAGCTCCTATTATTGCTAATATTCCACTACAGCAACATACAGTAGTCAGATACCACCCCTCATTTGGGTAATTTCCAGTTTAAACCTCCATTAAGTACAAGTTATTCATTTTATTTATTAATAACTGTGTAGCAACCGTTTGACAACCACTACATACACCATAGCAACCACCTAGAAACCGCTTGGCAACCACTATATATACCATAGCAACTGCCTAGCAACCACTTGGCAACAACTAAGCACACCATAGCAACCACTCAACAATAGCCTAGCAACAGCTTGTCAACCATTATGTATACCATAGCAACCGCCTAGCAACCACTTGGCAACCACTACGTACACCATAGCAACCACTTAGCAACCGCTTGACAACCACTACGTACACCATAGCAACCACCTAGCAACCACTTGGCAACCACTACATGCACCATAGCAACCACTTAGCAACCACTTGGCAACCACTACGTACACCATAGCAACCACCTGGCAACCACTTGGCACATACACCAGAAAATCAGAGAAAATCAAGCTGCTTCAGATCTGAAAAAATCCACAGGTGTTTCTGTCCATCCTTCCACTATGAGAAGACGACTCAGCACTATGAGTCTGAAAGGATGTGTAGCTGTCAAGAAGCCCCACTGAGAAAAGGAGACAGACACATTAAACAAAGAAGCTGAACAATGGACTGACCACCCCAAAGTCCAGACCTCAACACCACTAAATGTGTTTGGGGTTGTGAGTAGCAGAAAATGAAAAACCAACTTCTAAGACTGAACTTTGGAGGGTGTGGAAAATTCTTCTGAACAGAATGGAAGCTGTAATAAATTTAAAGTGAGGACACATTAAATACTGGCAAATATGAAATTATGTTTAGACTGCATTTTGGTATGAATGTTTGCTACTTTAATTGCTGAAACATTCATAACTTGTACTTAATGGCCGTTTTGGCTGTAAATCACTATTACTATAAAAACAAGGGACCGACTCATACATGGCAGCATTGTATGAATGGTCCCTGGTGCAGCTGTGAGCTTTAGCATGATCTGTAAAGTGCCGGCCGCAACCAACGTGTTGAAGCTAGCCATGTCTTGAGTGTTAGCATTTCAGTATCATTTGTGTTAGCATTTTTCACAGGCTTGCTCATGCTATTTTTGCTTGTTTGTGCTGGTGCAGAAAGATCAGGGGAAGATTGATAAGGAGGACCTGCGGGACATGTGCCATCAGTTTAACTTGGACCTGAGCGGTGACGTCCTGGACGGCCTCATGGACTACTGCGATGTCGATAAAGACGGCCTCATCAACTTCCTGGAATTTGCCAACTTTCTTAATTGGAAAGACAAAATGCCCATCAGTAAAGCAGAGCAGAGGATTTTAACAAGAGGTGGTGTTTCAAAGCATTAAGTATTACACAGATACACTGTATATCCAAAAGTATCCAGACAGCCCTTCTAATGAGTGAATTCAGCTACTTAAAGCAGCACTATGTAACATTTCAATTAGAACTAAAAGAATTAGCACTACTGAGTGTGGAGAGAAAAGAACACATTAAATATGGTGACCGTGTGCTGCTGCGAGTCGCCCTGTAAAACCTGAAAGAATAATTTGAAAGTCAGAGGTATCAGGATGGATTTGGCGCTTTTCTGACCACGCCATGCATCTTTACGTATTAATGTCACACACACAGGCTCAAAAAGAAAGTCCAACTTGATGTTTAGGTTTCAAATGATCTCAAAATTAACATTATACTGATATGCTGATGATAGTTGATAATTCACTCACACCCTCGGAACACACCCTTCTCCAAGTTTTGACTGCGTTATCTTCGTATACTCTTTATGTACATTCACAAAGGTCAGACTTATTTGCTTGTGGAGTTCTGATGCACAACCAATGTTACAGAATTTTCTTTCACACATTGAGTGCAATTACATATTTCCACCAGAGAGGTCTCCAAATCCCCAAAACTTACATAGTGATACTTTAAAGAGGTGTTCACACAATATATTTTCAAACTCTTTCTAAAACACTTCTTTTGATTGTCATTAATGAAGCTATCTGCACATAGACTGCAAAGCTCCACTCTAGCCTGTACAGCATGCTTCCTGGTTTTCGTTCACGCGTTTATGTCCATTTTTCCACTAAGCGCCATGAAAAAGTATTATATGTCATTCACAGCAGGCCAGTCAGTTTCGAGGATGATCGCTCTCTAGCCAACAACATGAAGGAACAGCTAGTTTTGGTCATTTAGAACACCTGGAGCGGTACAACACTTAATGCAAAGATAACCACAATCCAAATAAGAAAAAGAGTTTTTTATTTATTTATGCAAATTTTGAACAACGCCAGTCAAATGGCATTTTGTTGAAGTGAAAATAAGTTAACACATTCTTTCTAGGAACAAACTTAAACATGGCATTTTTCTCAAATTACAGTGCACATTTTGTATTTGTATTTATTTGGTAAGTTTAACATATTGGAAAAATGTAAAAATAAAAATATAAAATATGCCATAACCTTTTGCAAATATTACTTTTTATAGCAAGAATGCAATGATATATCAAAAATACAAGATGCCAATTTGGTTATTTAGTGGAGTGATGGAATGTGTTGTTGAAATAGAATGATTGTTTTTTAACTGCTTTGTGCAACTGTCAAGTTGCATAGAAATGATGTTGCATGCAACTTACAGCATGCAACTAGTTTAAATTTTAGTCTAAGACGAGCTTTGGTAAGACATTCTCTCATGTCACTCTATACAACACAGTCATATAGAGATTACATTGAAAAACACTGGACGACCGCTTTAGCAACATCATTCAGAAACTCAAAAAAAGTTCACCACTCCAGCATTGAGTAGTGGGGGCTTCTGCACCCAGTGATGGCTTTAACTTTCCATTCGTCCCACCCCCCAGGACGCAATGCTAGTAGTGCCCCAGCCAACATCCAGAGAGTGGAGCTCCAGAGATCAGACTCAGAGAAGCAGGCCTGGTCAGAAAGCCTGGCCAGGCCTGAAGACCTGGAGCCTGTGGAGGTGTGGAGCACCCTAAAGACCCCCAGAACACTCTGCAGGTCGAGAGCAGAGAGGGATCGCTTCGTCACCTCCTCGTCATTCATCTCCGCTGTCGTGGGTGGGCTTCCCACTACCGGTGAGTCAGATTAACAAGTGGGTTGAACATTAAGACGTGTGAGCGGCAGGTGCAAGGTAGTAGTTTAGTAGATGTTATCTACTGTTTCTTTAGAAGGCTTGAAAAAGTACATGGATGTATCTAGTTTCAATTTTGATATTTATAAATGTTGGTGTGTCCGCATGGGCAGATATGTACGTGAAAAATATCAGATATCAGCCCACAATTCCTATATCAGTGCATCCTTAAATTTTGTTCTAGATGTCCACAACACATGACACAAAAGCCTGCCTCCCACTTATTATTTTTTTTACAAATTATTTTTCATTTCATAATGCGCCAAATGTTCTCAGGGGGTGACAGGTCTGGACTGCAGGCAGGTCAGTTTAGCACCCAGACTCTTTTAATACAGAGCCATGCTGTTGTAATACATGCAGAATGTGGTTTGGCATTGTTTTGCTGAAATAAGCAAGGTCTTCACTGAAAAAGACGTTGTCTGGATGGTAGCATATGTTGCTAAAATATGTATATATTGTTCAGCATTAATGGTGCCTTCACAGATGTGCACATCACCCATACCATGTGCACTAATGCACCCCTAAACCATCATGAATACTGGCTTTTGAACTGTGCACTGATAACAAGCTGAGTGGTCTTTAGCCTGGAGGACACAGTATCCATGATTTCCAAAAAGAATTTCAAATGTTGATTCGTCAGACCACAGGACACTTTTCCACTTCCCCTCAGTCCATTTTAAATGAGCTCGGGCCCAGAGAAGGTGGCAGCATTTCTGGATCCTGTTTATGTACAGTTTCTTCTTTGCATTTTAGAGTTTTAACTTGCATTTGTGGAAGCAGCGACAGTATATTTATATATCATAGACAGTATATTTCAGAAGTGTTTTTGAGCCCATGCAGTGATTTCCTCTACAGAATCATTTCTGTTTTTAATGCAGTGCCGCCTGAGGGCCTGAAAATCATGGCCAACAAATACTGTTTTTTTCCTTGTCCCTTACATACAAAGATTCTCCAGATTCTCTGAATCTTTTAATGTTATTATGTACTGTAGATGATGAAAAACAAAAGTTCTTTGTTATTTTACCTTGAGAAACGTTATTCTTGAATTGTTGCACTGTTTGCTCATGCAGTCTGTCACAGAGTGGTGAAACCCCTCATCTTTACTTCTGAAAGCTGAGATGCTTTTTTATACCCAATCATGTTACTGACCTGTTGTCAATCAACCACCAAGTATTTTTTTTAGCATTACACAACTTTACCAGCCTTTTGTTGCCCCCATCCCAACTTTTTGGAACGTATTGTTGGCATCAAATTCAAAAAGGGCAAATATTTAAAAAAAAAAAATGAAATTTCTCAGTTTCAACATTTGATACATTGTCTTTGTGCTACTTTCTATCAAATATATGGTTTAAATGATTTTCATTTTATTTTTATTTACATTTTGCACAGCGTCCCAACGTTTTTGGAAATGGGACTGTGCGTTGTTAAGTAATTCATAATATTTACATTTTGTATCAACCCAGTTTTTGTTCTGTTTTGATGTAAAGATGATCTTTTTGCAAAACAACTACACTCAGCAATGACTTTTCATTAAATTCAAATCTTAAACCACAGTTGTGGTGTGCGTTGAATGTTTAGAATCTGCATTTTCCACGCAATTCCACTGCTTGTTTCAATGGTGTATGAGCGAAGAGTAACACAAATATATATAATTACAACATGCTTTTGTTATCATCTGTGATAATTGCACCTTCTCAGGGTTAAGAACATTCTTAGAGGTCTGGTCTGGAGTTACTGAAATGCAGCAATCTGTGATTTGGCAGCATTAAGACTAATAAGACTAATAAGAGTCTGTTCCTCCTGCAGGGGGAAAGTGTCAACGTAAATATACATGCTAATTTTTGCTGTGTCAATCTGCCTTTAAAAACATGTTTCTGCATATTTTTTTTAGATTATCGGACGTACGGAGTTCCATCAGTGCGTACGGATCTACCCGCCCCGCGTATCAAGCGCATCAGCGACCGTACAAACTATGGAGACGAGGCCACAGCGTATGACCTGCTGTATCCCACCCTGCACTCACTTTTTGGAGTGCATGAGAAACACTTCTTCTCCCCTCGCAGCAAAGATGAGGTAGAACAACAACATCAGCATCACTTCATACAATGCTATTTAAAAGTGTGAAGTCACTTATCGTATTAATAATTTAAAAAAATATTTAAAGTTATTTGAGAGCAAGAATAACAAATATTCTGTAATTATGTATTTACATTTAACAAATGTAAATAATAAATAATTTTAAAAAATTATGATATTTATATATAAATTTAAGTTATTTACCATTTTTAAATATAAGGTGTTCTAGATATTACTTTTACTATAAGTTTATTCAGGACATTCATTTTATTATTTTTATTATATTGTTCCACATATATATTATTTCATTATTAGCTTCAGTGTAGATGTTATTTTTATTATAACATCCTCACTGATATAGTATATAATTTATATTTTATATTATTTTTGAAACATTTGCTATTATTATTATAATCATATAAATATTTATTGTAATTTGGTCATTCTTTAGGACTAAAATTTTATCTATTATTTGTATTAACTTCATCATTAATATTAATTCTATTATAATTTCATATTAATTTATTATTATTGTTGTTAACCATTCTGGATATTATCTTTATTATAACTTCATCAGGGATATTATTTTTTTCTTCTCTGTAGGTATTATTTTATTATAACTTCAATCTATATATTATTTTTATTATAACTTCTCATCTGCCAGTTGCCTAGTAACAAGAGACCTGCAATATATTTTGGTATATATTCAGCTAAGTGACCGGTATTGACTAGAGATGCGTTATGGGAAATCGTAGTGATTTCAAAATCACTCTAGAATTCCATTTCACTGGCATTCTGGCCTAAATTTAGAGTTTGAATATAATTTTTTGTCATATTATACAGTATTCTGTAGTGCAGCGTTGTGTCCCTGAGCCTCATCAGTTCAATAAAGTTCACAATTTTATATAGTTTTAATGTCTTTGTTTATCAGTGTCCTCACACTACAATACCCAGCATGCTTTATCATGTTCTATCTAGACCCTTTTTGAAAAGGGTTCTTTTTTTGTTACAAGCCTGACATCGCAACAAAGAAGAACCCTTTTGTGTGCTAGAAAGAACCCTTTAATCATGCACAATTTTCCTTACTAAAGAACCCTTGAAGAACCATCTATTATTTTAAGAGTTTACTCAGCATATTTTTCATCAACCTGAAGAACCATTTCACCATGCAAAGAACCATTTAAGCATGGAATGGCTCTATATAGAACTCATGGTTCTACAAATAGAACTTTTGCCTTTGTTAAAGAACACTTGAAGAACCTTCCTTTTTGTGTGTACCTTTTCTGTCTCAGATACTGCAGATTTTCCGGAATGTGGGCCTGCGTGTTTCCGAACAGATGTTTGAGGAGGCCTGGAAGTTAGCATCCATGAGACATCCTGCTGGTGAAGTGTGCGTGGAGAGCTTCCGGAATGTTCTCAGAGAACTACAGGCAAATTAAGAAGAATTAATCTTCATATTTATATATATATATATATATATATATATGTGTGTGTGTGTATGTGTATATATATATATATATATATACATAATATATATATATATATATATATATACATATATACATAAACACACATTAAGTGTCTCCGAACAAATGTTTATCTTTTAGTTTTTATAAAAATGCCACGTCCAATAAAGACTAATAATAGCATCATTAACTCATAACTGATTTCATTTCTCACACTTTTTGGCGCTGAGGCAGAATACAAGCTACGCCAGTTTAACATTTGGCTTCGTGTTTTGTTAATTGCTCGATTTATAAGCTATAAAGCTTCATGTCCACCCACGAGGCACATATTAACAGGCTTTCATTGCTGCTTCCTGAGAGGCTGCATTTACCTTGCTGACCTTTTCCTGTAATCAGTAGCGGGAATTCTATAAAAAGATACACTTTGGATAAGAAGAGGTCAAAAGAGGTCAGGAACATTAACAAATGTGCAGCATTGTCTGCTTTTACAGTGTTCATTTCACACTGTGCACACAAAACAGCACAGAGATCAAAACAGACTTGATCAAAAAGGTCTTGGAATTGGCTTCATCAGTCGCACATGAATAAAATATATCCTATCATTACATTTAATTTGTTTATTTATTACTGACAATAATAGTGCTGTTGTCATATGTTTTATTCATGAGGAAACTATGTACATATTTGAATCAAGTCAATTCAAAGTACTTCTTGCTGAATGAATTCACTCTTGGATTTAAATAGTTCCGATAGTGTTAAGTAGCAGCGTGAAAAGAGGGAGTTCAGAGGGTAAAGAGCTGATAGTCTTTCCTGGCTTTTCCCAATGTACAAGCTGATACACAGGATTTATAGTAGTATAGTAGTGTAGTAGTATAGTAGAGGTCTCTGGACAGTGACAGTATGGCATCATAACATCATCATCATAAAACTTGGTCAAGCTTACAGAGCAGTCCTGTCAGGAAAGGATTATACCGGTCTCTGGGGTCAGTTCCTGACCATTTTAGTCCACTCTTCCTCTAACTTTGTGCTTGTCATGTCCAAGCAGAACACAGTACTGACGCATCTGCGTTCAAAGATGACAGCTGTAGGGTGTGTGTATGTGACTGGTTCAACACACATGTTGGAACACTGAGACTGTCTGACTGACCAGCAAAATCACCAGACGTCCATCCCAGTTCTCAGTCTGGAACAGCAGGTGAAATGCTGGAACAGGGCACACAGGAACACTGGCTGGAATGCTTAGCTGACATAACTGGAAATGTTATTAACCAAGTATTAGAAAAGGTTATGATGCATGAGACACATTTATTCTTCAGTTTTCTTTGTGAGCTTCTATCAAAAAACAATATTTGCAATTACATTAAAAAGGTATCATTTAATACAAAATGATATTATATATATTATAACATAATAACATAAAATAACATGTATTATATCATATTATATTATATTAAATTTATTATATAAGGTTGTTTTCCACAACCTTGACAATGACATTATTATCCATCCATCCATCCATCCATCATCTAAACCGCTTATCCTTCTGGGTCGCGGTGGGGTGCTGGAGCCTATCCCAGCTGTCATTGGGCGGACGGCAGGATACACCCTGGACAGGTCGCCAGTCCATTGCAGGGCAGACATTGTCATTGTCCCGATAAATAATATTATTACTACTACTACTATTATTATTATTATTATTATTATTATTATTATTAAAATTGATCAGTTGGTGAATGTTATAAATATAATAATAATAATAATAATAATAATATAATAGTAGTAGTAGTAATAATATTATTTATCGGGACAATGACAATGTCTGCCCTGCAATGGACTGGCGACCTGTCCAGGGTGTATCCTGCCTTCCGCCCAATGACAGCTGGCATAGGCTCCAGCACCCCACCGCGACCCAGAAGGATAAGCAGTTTAGAGGATGTGTGTGTGTGTGTGTGTGTGTGTGTGTGTAATATACTGTTTTCCACAACCTGGAAAATGACAATGTGATATTATGATATACCAAAATTATTATTATTATTATTATTATTATTACTATTATTATTAATAATAATAATTATTATTATAATAATACATTTTTATTATCAGGGCTATGACAATATCATGATTTCTCAAGAATATTATCTGCTATTTTATTTATATAAAATAACAATTTGTTGCTATATATAAATTATATGACTTGAACTTCTCAGGAGAAGGAAAAACATTACTTTCAATGGAAGATAATGGAGAAGTTATTTATTCTAAGTAACATAGTATTATTATATTATAGTAGTATTAGTGTTAATAATATCAGTAACAACAACAGAAATAATAATAATAATAATAATAATAATAATATATCATATCATCAGAGTCCAGATAGAGGAAAATATTGTGATATAAACTTCAGTTCATATTGCTGATCCTCCCAGGCTGATAGAGTTTAGGCTCTCGGAATAAGGCGAGTGAGTTTATTGTGATGAAGGGCTGCTGTGCTCAGAGAGAATCTCGGACTATAAACAATCTGTAACATCAGTCTGATCGGTCTGTGCGTGTGTGCGTGAGTGTGTGTGAAGCTCTATAAGCCTCAGTGGAGTATTTCTCCTGTAGGAGATGCTTTGCTCTCTGAGCAGTCTGACTGTCACTCCGCGCACTTCATTTATTCATTTTCACACGTATTAATTCTGCTATTCTATTAATCGGCTTCTCAGTTACAATCTCCCAAAGCCGAGTGAAGAATAACAACACACACACGCGCGAGGGGATTTCTGACACACTGTTCAGCTGCATTATTATTACACTATAACGTGAGAACAGAGACGAGTTTGTGTTTTGCATAATAAACAGATTAATAAGTGAAAATGAGCCCTGACTGTAAAAATAGTGCACATCTACAACAGTGTGCTCTTATATTCTCCTGCATTGTTCTGTTCTGTTTGATGCCTGCATGATTAATTGGCTAAATGGCATTAACGTATTAATTTAAATTGAAATGATATCCACTCCGGTAATCATATTAAGACCTGTTTGCACACATGTGCCGAACCCCGCAAACTTGAACAATCCATTACTGCTGAAAATTATAATCCTGCTACCATGTTGCTAAATGATTTAATGAATTCTGGTCAATGATATAATTCTATTGCTTCTTGGTAATCCAAGACTACACGAACAATAATATGGCACAAAGGATTTTTCTTTCCACAGAAATAGGATGACATGCGTGTTTCAGAGATGTTCTCCTGTCAGTTTCATAAAGGATGTATTTTTCATATCTTAATAAGGCAGCAATTATTCTCCACAGCTGAATATGGGATTCAGTAAACAGCAGCATTTTAAAGGGAAAAACACTGTACAATCTGAATGCACAGCTGCTGATGAAGTTCCTCCATTTAATAATGAATAAACATGAATTCACTTCATTATATGTTATATATCAGATATGAATATTAAATGTAAAAATATATAATGTAAAAGAGTATAAGATTAGTTTGACCATTTAGCCTATTTAACCATTCGCTTATTAATATTACTAATAAATAAATTAATTAAATAATATACTGTCAAGCTATCTGCATGACATTTGCTCACCTCTTTCAAATTATGGGGCATATTGGATATTAATTTTATTAGAACTTAATTCAGGAGATGAATTTTATTAGAACTTCATACGGGATATTTATTGTAATATACTTTCTGCATATTATTTTTATTATAACTTTATTCTGGAGAGTAATTTGATTAAAGCTTCAATATAGATATTGTTTAATTTGGGATATTTATTTATTTTTTACTTAATTTTGGATTATTTTAGTATAAATTGTTAAAACTTCATTCTTGATATTATACACACACACACATATATATATATATATATATATATATATATATATATATATATAGTTATATATACTATACAACGTTATCATATATAACTTAATTCATATATAACTTAATTCTGGATAATAATTTTATTATAGCATCTAATCGGCTATTAATGGTACTATAACTTCACTCAGGATCTTAATTTTATTATAACTTTATGATCTTCATACAGCTTTCTCAGTCATTTTATATTATATTCATTATGGATCTATTTTTTTTATACAGCCACCCTCATAAGTATTAGAGGGCTTCTGTATTACAATTATTTTATACATTTATCTACAACAAAATGTGTTTTATATCAATAAAAACACTCATCTTAAACTTTTCTGTGACTGTGTACATACTGCAAATGTCCCAGATCAAATAAAACATGAAAAATTATTTACTAAAAAGCCTGTATTTAACATTAACATTAGTTTGGCACTTAAGGTTTTCCAGGGTGTCCAGGATGAAATACAGACCAGATTAATGCCTTTAGGAATTGCGGTAATTACAAACTTTTCATTGCAAAAAAAAAACAGGAAAAGGAAACATGTTTAGAATTTTACTGGAATTTAGCATAAAATATTCTATTCCAAGTAACTTTGGACAATGTTTCATTCATCATGAATTGTTTTGCACCATGTTAAGGCCAGCTGGCGTTTTCAAAACAAGTCTTTATTTCATATAGTGTGACAACATTGTGCGTTTGTGTAACAGCAAAAGAAGTGAAGAAGCACATCTGTATGAACAAACAGGGAAAATTAGACAATTTGTATGTCCAAATCAGTGATTTTATAGGTGGAACTGCTTAACAGCTGTTACTATTTATGATAACAGCCATTATTAATTGGGTAATTTTGCACTGTCTGTTGGTTTTTTGGTCCATTTGTGGTAAAATGTTCACACAATGTAAAGGGGAAGTTGGTGTTTAGTTGGTGGAAACAAAAACCTCACAGTCGTGTGTGTAAGTTTGAACACTCCTGGTCTAATGACGTTCTGTTGTTTTTCTAGGTGAAAATAAGTGAACACATTCAGAGAACACACTTAAATATGGCACTGTTCTGCAAATGCAACTGTAATGCACAGTTTCTGTGTAATTAATGATTTCAACATACTGGAAAAAATATAAAATATATCTTTTGCGCAGCCCACATTTGTTCTGTGTAGAGGATGTGCTCACTTATTTTCGCATATTTATCAACAAGACATATCACTTGACCTGGGACGCCCAGACTTTTCAATAAGATTGTATGAGGAGTGCATGCTGGCCTGGCTAAGGCTCTATACACAGCATTTGTCTTGTGTTAAGTAGCCATTTAGCTTAGCACGATTACTTTGGCACATAGAAGATATGATGTTATGACTGAATTCATCTGACTGGCTGAAAATGATTAATGCTTTGATTCATCTCCAAAAGTGTGCAGACACCTGCTCATCCAGCGTTTCTTCTGAAATGAAGGGTATTAATTAATTAATAGTGGCAGCCTCTACTCTTCTGGGAAGGCTTTACACTAGATGTAGGAACATTGGTGTGAGGATCTGATGGCAGCCACAAGAGCATTAGTGGTCTTGGATGATCTGTTCTGGATCACTCCAACTCGTCCCATCATGTCAGAAAACAGTTCCACTGCTCCACTGTCCAATACTGGGGGGCTTTATAACCCTCTAGCCCATGCTTTGCACTAGGCATGATGACCTTTATGTGTGGCTACTCCAGAGTGTCCCATGACAGTCTGGTTACTAATCTAAATCTAGAACTGTCTGTACCCTGGTCCACCACCTGTGTCACACAACTGAAACATAGAAAGGGGCGGGGTTCTCTGAAGATTGTGATGTGGTCACGTGATTTGTCATGTGACACTTCTGTTAAAAGCAATGCTGGGTACCCCAAGCATGAAGGGTAACCGAATTTAGAACAGGTACGGTACGGTTTGGTCAACGTGTGTCAGAGGTGGGGACTTAAGTCAGTGACTCAGACTATCCCTAAACTCACTTGAGACTGTCACTCTCCCTTAACTGGCTCGCACCTCCACTTGGACTCTACCTAAACTGAATACAACTCAACTTGCACTCTCCCTAACTGACTCTCAACTCAACTTAGACTCTTTTTAAACTAACTCAGAATTCGGACTCTCCCTAACTGATTCACAGCTCAACTCGGACTCTCCCTAACCGACTCACAACATAATTCAGACTCTCTTTAAACTGACTCACAATCTGGACTCTCCCTAAGTGATTCGCAACTCAACTCAGACTCTCCCTAACTGACTCTCAACTCCACTTAGACTCTCTTTAAACTGACTCACAAATCGGACTCTCCCTAACTGACTAGCAACTCAACTCGTACTCACCTCAAATGACTCACAACTAAACTCAGACTCTCTTTAAACTGACTCACAACTCGCACTCTCCCTAACTGACTAGCAACTCAACTCAAACTCTCCCTAAACTGCCTAGCAACTCTCCCTAACTGACTCACAGCTCAACTCGGACTCTCCCTAACTGACTCGCAACTCAATTTTAGACTCTCTTTAAGCTGACTGACAACTAGGACTCTCCCTAAGTGTCTCGCAACTCAACTTAGGCTCTCCATAAAAGACTCACAACTCAACTCAGACTCTCTCTAAACTGACTCACAACCCAACTCGGACTCTCCCTCAACGACTCACAAGTTGATTTGGACTCACCCTTAAGTGACTTGCAACTCTGACTCTCCCTAACTGATTCTCAACTCAACTTGGACTCACCTTAAACTGACTCGCAACTCAACTTAGCCTGACCCTTAAGCGACTTGTAGCTCAACTCTCCTTAACTGATTCGCAACTCAGCTTGGACTCACCTTAAACTGACAATTTTTTGATTCTGACTTTCCCTAGACAGACTTGTGGCTCAACTCAGATTCTCCTCAAACTGACTCGCAACTCAGCTGGGACTCTCCCTAACTGACTCTTAGCTCAACTCAGACTCATAAACTCAATAGCAACTTAAACAGAAGTCTTTCTAACTGACTCGGAACTTACCTCAAACTCTCTCTTAACTGACTTGAGACTTGACTCAGACTCTCCTACAATTCTGAATGACAGAATAAAGTTCTTCAGGCAGTAAAAGTGGTGTTTAAAAAAGAGGCAAAACAACTCAAAACTGTTGGATAGCACATAGTTTGGATAGCAAGTATGGTAGCTAGCGCAAAAGCTATTACAGCTGCTATTCAGCTACATCTAGCTAAGGTTTAATTGAGTTACAGATCACATTCCCTTAAAAAGATTGCACCAGCTAGTAGCATACATTCTATACAATCTGCAGAATAGCCAGTGGTTTTAAGCTGTTTTGTTTCTTTCCTTTAAAAATGACTAATATAGATTAAAGTAAATGTCTCTGCAAAAGACTTGAGTCTTGACCTCTGAACACCTGTCATGGGTTTGTAGCGCATTGCTCTGTGGACATTAGAGAGAAAAGTTCAGTACAAAAGGAGTGGTCTCCAGTTTAGGGGTTTGTGTATTGTGCTTCAGTTAAAGACCTAAAGGCGGTCTTTCTATAGGGCTACTGGAGTTAAGTTCAGCTGGGCTTCTCTGGCTTTATGAGTTCCTTGGTTTTCCTCGTTCTGCCAGGTTCACTCAAGCTGTTTCCAGTGCCAGACATGAGTCACCATCCAGTCGGGGTTAGCCCCAGCCGTCAGCTCCCGATGAAACCTTCGACAGAAAATGTCACAAACGTAAACATCTAGAAAATTCAAAACACCACACTAACTCACTGGACTAGGGCTTAAAAGTGTGACAATTTCAGTACAGTGTCAAACAATATAAGAAAGGAATGTTTAAAACAGTCTAGGGACATTTAAAACGGTATGGCCAGTAAGTTCCTCAGTCTCTAATGATTGTCTCATTTACAGTCTTTTGTGGAAGCCACAGTCAATGATCACAACTAGGCACCTATTTATTATTATGCTGTATTGTTTATATCTGAGTTGCACCAAAAACATACACATTTTTAAAATACAACTTGTTTATTTGGTGAATTTAAAATAAAACTTGTCAGAGGTGCCATTACATTTGCACAGGCCATGTCAGAGGTGCCATTACATTTGCACAGGCCACATTTCCGGTTTTATTTTTTTCCAAATTGTTAAACTCAGCAAATAAACAGTAACTGTGCAGTACATTGTGCAGAAGTGTGTTCTCTGAGGATTTGTTAACTTATTTTCACTTAGAAAATCAACAAAACTCATCTAAAAATAAACAAGGGCGCCCAAACTTAGGTACCAATGAACAAATAGTATCATCATAACTATAAAACAATAAAACGTGGAAAGTTTAAAGGGGAATTCCACCAACTTTTCAAACTTTCTGCAGAAATAATTTGTTAAGATGTAGACAAAGTCATTCAGAGTGGTTTCATGTGAAATGCTCTGTTCTGGAGAAATGTTGTTGGCAAAATTGTTCACAGTGGTGGTGAATGGAACCAGACGTCTGAAGAGTTTCAACACTTCAGAAAGCTCCCTCACAGAAAGTTATTACATTAAATGGTTATAAATGTGCTGCCTGGTGCCTGAGACATTGTTTTATGATAGTTTTGAGAGTAAGCTTTGACCTAAAAATATATATTTCTTTTAAATCATTAATGGCTTAGGGGTATATGCAGGGTGTTGTGAGCACCACTATGTTACCATCATCAGCATTACATATAAAACTCAGAAGGCATGTGTAGGTTCACTGGTGGTTTTGGATAGTGGCCGTGAGTAAAAGGAGAACAATAAAGGCCCTGAAACAGAGCCTTGTGGCACACCATATTTAGCTTCTATGTTTAGAACGCTCCCCATTTACACTGCAAATTTGAAGTGGTCTGTGAATTAAGACTTAAACCAGGCAAGAACTTGTCTGTCTAAACCAACCATGTTTTCAAGCCTGTAGATTAAAATATCTTGGTCAACTGTATAGAATTCTGGACCGTAAATTCACACTTTTCAGCAGTCTCTACAATCCACAAAATGCTTTGTTCTAGAGAAACTCAGAATCTCAATGTTAGTGACAGAAACCAGATATGTCAAGAGTTAAATGCATAAAAAAAAAGTTATTACCTAAAATGATTACCAATATGTTGATTGATGCCTGCTGCACTGTTTTCTGCTAGTTTTGAGAAGATTTTGGTCTAAAACTATAACAATTTGTAGCATACCAGACGTATATGCATGTGTAGTGAACCATATCACATCAAACCACTCTGAATGACTTTGTTTACTTTAATTTAGCGATTAATTTATGCAGAAATGTTGAAAAATCAACTGTTCAGATCAGTTTAAGCAGTTACCACAGTTTCTAAAGTTAGCATTTTCATACTGTGCTTTAACACTTAACTGGGTTTTACTTTAACCAAGCTTTACTTTTAACAAGTTAATCATTATAGTGTTGTAAAGTAATTATGAGCAACGTCACGGCAAATTGTAGCACCCTTTTTTTGGCCTGTTTTTCAAATGTTGTGGCACAACATACACAAAAAAGTGCAGTAAAATGACCAATGACTGTAAAAAGTTAAACTTTCCGCTACCCGACCCAAAATGAAGGCGGCAGTAAATCAGACTCACGGAACGCTGAACTCAAAAATGACATTTCCTTAAAGTTTACTTATAAATGACAGTATGCGTGAGACGTGCGGAAAGCTGGAGCGCTAATGTGACAGATGGGGTGATTTTTCAGACATGAGAGAGAGAAAGCGTGCAAATAGCTGAGAGCAAACCTATTAGCAACTATATATCCATCAGAGCAGCACAGAAAACAAATGTCTGTCATAAGAGAAGAAACCCATTAACTACATTTAAAAGCATCTACAGCTCGTCACATTTATCAGCCAGTCTCATGGCATCGAGTATGTAAACACTTCATAAAGAGGTGGGGGGGGGGCAATCTCAACAAGCTGCTCATGGAGACACTGAGAAAGTTTTACTCTTTAAAAGCCACGATAAAAATGCTATAAATGTTAAACTACTTTTAAAGCTTTCTGAGTTGTATTATAAACCGTTCACTCCAGCGGAGTCATCATAATTTGTGCAGTTTGACAGGCTTAGAAAGATACAAATCTAATTCCAAAGAAGTTGGGACAGAAAAATAGAATACAAAAAACACACAGCAATGATCTGCAATTCTTTTTTGACCTGTGTTTAATAGAAAATAGTGCATGTTTCAACTATTTAACTTTGTCTTATGTATATATACACTTATTTTAAATGTGATACCTGTAACATGTCCCAAAATGTTGGGAGAGGGGCATGTTTACTACTGTGTTACAACACTTTTCCTTTAACAATGGTCAGTAACCATTCAGGAACTGAGGACACTAATTGTTGTAGTTGTTTAAGTGTAATTTTTTCGCATTCTTGCTCGATATAACAGTCAAGCGTCTCCACTGTCATATATTGAACTTCATAATGCACCACGTTTCCAATAGGAGACAGGTCTGGTGGACTCATTAGACCAAAATACATGTTTCCACTGTGCATTAGTCCATCTCACATGAGATTTAGCCCAGAGAAGTCGGCAGCGTTTCTGGATGTTGTTGATATATGGCTTCTGCTTTGCACAGTAGAGTTTTAACTTGCATTTGTAGGTGCAGAGACAGACTGTGCTTAGTGAGAAGGGTTTTCTGAAGTATTCCTGAGCCCATGTGGTTATATTCATTACAGAAGCAAGTCTGTTTTTAATGCAGTGCCTTCTGAGGGATTGAATGTTCAATATTGGTTTTCGGCCTTGCGATTTACACCCAGAGATTTCTCTGAATCTTTGAAATTATTCCATGTCATTGTTGTTGGTTGAAAGTAAAATTGAACCACTTAGAAATTAATAGAGCATTTCATTCACAATGTAAATTACTGTGTTATTTCAAATAAGTGTTAAATGTAGTCCAAACAAGCCTTACCGTCCCAACCAGCAGTCTCTTCCGATAAAATCAGAAAAACTTCACTTAGTAGCTTTATCTGATCAATTTTCCATTGCAACTGTAATACTGATTCCCGTAAGTGCCTCTATTGTATTTCCTGTATTGTGTTAGCATCCAGCTACTGGCACCAAATATTCATTTTTCCACACTGGGTTTAATAGGATGTAAGGTAGGATCTACCAAAAGCTGCACATTTGAAGTGTCTAAGGCATTCAAGCAACATGTTCTTTACTTTTAATATGTATCGAAAAATCAAATTCAATTCAAACTGTGTATTAATATATATAATGGTACTGTCAATACACTCCTCAGTTTCTTCCAAGAGTCTTTCATTTATCATCTGTCAAATAAAAATAATTTTGTGTATCATTAAACCTTTACTGGAGACACTCACTCATAAACTGCAGTGATGATTTTCTTTGGTGGTCCATCTACTAGGCCAGGGTCCACCTTGAAGATGCGAGTGCTCTCTGGGTCCTCTGGAACATCCGCACTGGTCAGGTGCCACAGTCTCATGATGATGCTGCAGAACTTCCTGCCTGGAGAAACAGCACAAAAGAATCATAGCTGACAAATTCATAATTGCAGTATCACTGAAGCTCACCAAGGTGTAAACATGCATCTGAACGGGGCGATTCAACTGCACAGATTTTGATTCAACTGCATTGATTTTGAATGGTGGCTTCAAGTATAATCAATTATAATATTCAATAAAGTATGCAATCATTTGAATCATTTCATAAGAATCATATTTGAACTAAACTAAAGTGACAGCTGCTAAACAGTGCTGACAAAAAGAAATCTAGAACAGGGCCAATTTCAGTCATGAAGATGAGAATACGCTAATTGGTCCTGACTAGTTTTCACGGTAACGCTTTATTTAAAGGCTACCTACACTGGGACAAAATGCATGAATCGGTAACAATTCATGCCAGTATCCGCAAAATAACATCAGATATTCTATGAGGTAAGTGACCTTGCATTGACATATACAGCATTAAACTCAGGTGACAGACATTTTTTCAGCTTATAACACTCTTATACGCATCATTCCCAAGAAATGGAACTAGAAGCCTTGTTACAAACATCATAAGTCAGTTCTATATTCATATCAGAGGCCAAGCAACATCTCAGAAACTTCCTGGGAATGACCACGCTACATATTAGCAACCATCTGGGATATCATAGCAAAGGCCTGGCAACACCTTAGTAACTACCTTGGACAGCAGAGCAATGGCCTAGCAACACCTTAGCAACCACCTGTGATACAACAGCAACGGTCTAGCAGCACCTTAATTATGACCTTGGATACCAGAGCAATGGCCAAGCAACAGCTTACCAACCATTTTCGATACAATAGCAACAGTCTAGCAGCATCTTAGTAACTACCTTGGATACCAGAGCAAAGGCCTAGCAACACCTCAGCAACCACCTGGGATACAATAGCAACTTTTTAACAGCACCTTAGTAACTACATTGGACAACATAGCAAATACCTAGCAACACCTTAGCATCCACCTGGGATACTATAGCGATGGTCTAACAATGCCTTAACAACCACCTGGGCTACCATAGCAACAGCCTAGCAACACACTAGCAACCACCTGGGACACTATAGCGATGGTCTAACAATTCCTTAACAACCACCTGGGCTACCATAGCAACAGCCTAGCAACACCTTAGCAACCACCTAACACTCACAAAGCAAAGCCCTAACAACAAACTGCAATGCCATACTAACCTTGTAACAACACCATAGCAACTACCTTGAATTACTATATACACCCAATTAAGATATCAAAAACAACCAACAGTGTTCTGCAACTGCTTTAAGCATTAATGAACATTCTCTTTATAGTGTCATCTGGCAAAGTATTGCTTCATTAATAGCTCATTCAGTGCTTATGCATGTGTTATGGAGCTAGCCTTCAAATAGTCATGGTAGCATTTCTGGGCGATGCTGATAATTTAATCAGCCCCGATCTTGTACCATTAGGAACGCTCACCTCTACTATCAAAAACTACAGAAACATCCTCAGGAAGAAGAAACACAATGTCGTCCAAAGAGATGGCGAGATGTCTTCTTTGGACCTCTGTTAGAGTGTTATACCTCCTCCTGACATCTGCTACAGCCTCGACACACAAAACACATCCAGCAGTTTTATACAGCAGTAATTCTAAAAAAAATAATTAGAGATCCTTCTGTAGAACTCCAACAGGTATTTACATGCATCTTTAAAAAGGAGGTTCTTCAGAGGTTTTTTTAGTATAGACAGTAATCATATATGGAACCATGTCAACTCAAAGAACATATTTAAATGCTTAAAATGGTCCTTCTCTACACCCTTAAACATGATTCTTCAGTAAAGGCAATAGTTAAATATAGAACTGTGAACAATTTGAATGCATAAGCGATTCTCTGCATGGTTAAATGGTTTTTCTCTGTGATGGAAACCTGTTGCATATTTTGTTGTTTAAAGAACCTTTTAAAAATTATTCTATATAGCACCAAAAAAAGGGTTCTGCCATTGTTAAAAGTCATAGAACCTTTTTTGGTACTATATAGAACACTTCTTGCTGAGCGCATGATGGAAACCTGTTGTATATTGTTCCTTAAAGAACTTTTTAAAAATGATTCTATATAGCACAAAAAGGGTTCTGCCATTGTTACAAGTGATAGAACCTTTTTTGGTACTATATAGAACCATTTTTGCTACGCGTGTATGATGGAGACCTATTGTATATTGTTCCTTAAAGATCCTTTTAAAGATTTCACCCCAACCTTTTGTGACTTACATACACTCTTTAAAATGATGGTTCTTCAAAGGTTCTTTTATTATTACAATGTTAAGCCTGAAACAAAAGAAGAACCCTTTTTGGTGCTACATATAACCTGTTTCAAAAAGATTCTATATAGAACCATCTACAGCACATTCTCTATCAATCTGAAGAAAGAACCCTTTCATGATGCAAAGAACCCTGTAATCATGCAAAGGGTTCTTTGAGTGTTCATGGTTCTATATTGAAGCTTTTTATTTACTAAAGAACCCTTGAAGAACCATCATTTTTAAGTGTGTAGTGCACTATTTAAGGAGTAGGGAGTCTTTCGTGAATCAGCCACAAATGTATAATCAAGAAGTGCGGACATTTATAACGCTCGTTTGGAAGGTGATTTAGACAGTCGTTAGCCAATCAGCAGTCTAGATTTTGGAACAAGCATCCTTATTGGCTCACTGACGCTAAAACTGATTACTAAGGTACTAAAATTTGGTATTGAATGACATGGAATTTTTTAAATACTTAGTAGTAATTCGATCATTATTATGAAAGTATTTAATTTCAAAGCCCAGCCTGATACACAACTACTACAAATTCCAATAAAACAGAACAAAATAATATTATATGAAGGTGAACGTATTACAGAATATTATATAATTGTTATTACAGAATGTTATATGATTGTTATACCACAGTATACAGGCCTTATAGTTACTTAATGTATTATCATACTGTTTCTTCATAGACTTCAGACTGTCATGCCTTTGATAGCTAGCATTAGTGCTGAATACCTCCTCAGACATCAAGCCCATCAGCTCCTCAAACCTGCCTTTGGACACCATAGTGGACACCTGGAACACTGCCTACAGAACAGAAGAGAACAAGTTCTGTAACACCACAGTAGAAGATTCCACACCACACAATTCAACAAACTTCATTATAGCCTTCATCAACAGTGACACAGGATGTTTGGTTGGCACCACAGGTCTACATACCTCAAGAGTTCTTTAGTACAGGCAATGGTTCCATTTAGAACCATGAGTGGTTCATGCTTAGATGGTTCTTTGCATGGTGAAACGGTTCTTCAGATTGTTGGAGAATTGGTTGTATATGGTTCTATACAGAAATTGTTACATGCTTCACATTGTAACAAGAGCAGGACCCTTTTTGAAAATGGTTCTAGATGGCTTCTAAAAGGGTTCTTCTATTGTTCCAAGCTTGACGTTGTAACAATAGCAAAACCCTCTTTGAAAATTGTTCTAGATTGCACCAAAAAGGGCTCTTCTATTGTTACAAGCTTGTCATCATGACAATACCAGAACCTGTTTGGAAAATGGTTCTAGATAGCACCAAAAAGGGTCCTACTATTGGTACAAGCTTGACTTCATAACAATAGCAGAACCCTTTTTGAAAATGGTTCTAGATAGCACCAAAAAGGGTTCTTCTGTTACAATTTTGACATCACAATAGTGGAACCATTTTTGGTGCTACACAAAACGAATTTCAAAAAGTTTCTACATAAAGTCATGTACAACACATTCTCCATCAATCTGAAGAACCATTTCACCATGCAAAGAACCATTTAAGCATGAGATGGTTTTATACAGAACTCATGGTTCTAAATAAAATTGTTGCCTTTACTAGAGAACCTTTGAAGGACCATTGCGCCTTTTACTACTTTCAGCTACCAGTACCTGTTTGACTCCATGGTCAAACTCCACACTGAAGTCCAGGTCGAAGTAGAGCTCAGTCAGAGCCAGTATTATCTTATTCCTGATCCATGTGATGGGATCAGGGGTGCCCACCACGGAGATACCCAGATGACCCTTATCATGGTCAGTGCTTTTGCAGTACTGTCTGTAGGGTACAGTACTGCTGCAGAAGTGTCTGTCTACACGAGCTGAGCACAGCCTGGACTCTCTTCGTGGACCATACAGGGCCCTGCACGCCTGCTTTGACCACTGAAGCTTGTTTGCAGAGAGCTCCTTCGTCCAGCTGCCGCTCGGTGATGAAGCCACCATAACACCGGACAGTTCTCGACACGAAATCCGCCTCATGGTGAAACAGCTCCGGGTTTTTATGTGCTGGCGCGTCGGTGGTCATTTAGCACTTACACAAAATCGGGTAGGTCTCTTCCGTCAACACTGACAGACACCGTATACTTTCCCACCTGTATTCCGGAAAGCCCCGCCTACCGCGCTGGGATTGGCTAGTAAGGCCTTTTCTCCTGCGCTGTGATTGGCTAGCCGTGCACTGCCTCCTCCGCTTGGACAGGCTAGCTGTATTTTACATCCTACGCTGGGATTGGCTAATAGGAGCTCATTCACACTGGGATTGGCTACGAGCATGCTCAGGCACTCATTGGCTGAAACGGGCCCGCGTTCATGGCTAGGATTGGCTACTAGTTTACACTCGCACGCAGTCTGTAACACTGCCATCCAGCCCAGCGCTGGAGGGCGGGGCTAGATCCAATACGGGTGCGGAGAAAAATAAAAACAGTTGCGAAACTCACCCACGTGGTACCCATAACGCTGAGACTGCTGGGCTGCGCTGTGGCGTTGCTGCGTTTGACCAGCAGATGGAGACAAACAACCGCGATTTGTGAAAGCGAGGCGAGCTGGTGAGAAAGTTTCGGATTACATCAGATCAGTTTCGATCATCATTTAGAAACCAGATACATGCAGATACACACCTTTAGAGCAGAAAAGATGAGTGGGACGGGAAAAATCATTCTGAATTTGCTTTAGACAAAATTTCAGGCTTCTGTTCAGTGATTCAGGTTTTTTTGCATTCTGACGTAGATTTATTTACTTAACAAATAAAAAAACCACTAAATCTATCAGAATGTAGTAATACAAAGTAGAGAATATATCTATTACATGAGAAAAAAATATATATTTTTATTAAACATGTTAACAAAATTTGGGGAAATATTTACAGCTAACAAAAAACAGCAGGGTACATATATTTAAAATGTAAATTAATTTTTTTACTTTTTTATATAAATTTTTTAACAGGCTTCCACTGCACAGGTGCAAAGGAGGAAAAAAAACATCGTTTCAAAAAAGCTTAAATTTGATCAGCAGACTAGACCATCGTTAAATCCCCCGCTGTTCTTGGTGATTACAGGTCAGAGGCTTTTATTTCCTTTATTTATTTATTTATTTTGCTCGTTGCGCGCGTGTATCTGTTTTTTCTGGGGTTTTTTTCTTTTTTTCTTTTTTCTTGCCTCGATAGTAAATGATGATTATATTCATAGACTTTGAAGGCAGTCACTGGGACACCTGCGCTCAGTGTATTGATCAGTAATTAAAGCGCTCTGATACTGAAATCCTGCATGATGCACTGCAGTAATTACCACTCAGCCTTCTGTGGGCTGAGCCCAGCAGCATCATACAGGTTTTCCACAATAATACACTGTTACTCTTTAGACATATTTTTGCTTATAAAATCTTCCTTTCAAATTTTGTAAGCTTTTATCAGCATGAGATGAATTAATATTCATGACATCACTACATTATATATAAGTTAATGAGCCCTCACACTCTAAACACTACTGAGCTATATGTATATATATATATATATATATATATATATATATATATATATATATATATATATGTATATATATATATATATGTATACACACACACACACACACACATCACTGCATGACATTGCTTCATCTTCTCTGATTGTGACTGTTGGAGCTTTACTCTTCCCCTGTGTAACTGCGACAGGGCAATAATCTAACCTGATCTGGTCTAATCTGATCTCAAAAGACTAGTTTATCCCAGTCTGCCCCGTAGACCCCCTGCATTGTATTTAAGGGTCTGCCTGCTCATGCTCACCTCAGGAAGGTGTGATGAGTTGGTTCAGATGTGTTACAGCTGGGAAACTCACTCAGATGATGAAGGCTTTTCCTGATATTTCCACTATGCAGCGCTGTTCTGAACAATGCACATCATCAGATGGAGCTTCGTTAACTCAGGCTGTGTATCAGGAGAACAGTGTTACTCTGCAAACATGTGGTAGGACTTGTATGTGATTATATTAGAGTTACATATATAATTATGTATAACACACACACACACACACAGACACACAAGTATATGTATATATATATATATATATATATATATATATATATATAATATATATATATATATATATATATATATATATATATCAGTTAATATATTGGCCAAAAATCTGACTCCAGTACACATTTATTGTTGTTTACACATTGCACAGTGTTGTTAATACTAACATAATAGTGTTGTAATTGTATATGTATATGTATTATATATACTATCACTGTCCAAAAAACAAGTCAACATCTTTGTTTTTATTGATTTTCATTTTTCTACATCATTTGAACACATAAGCTGTTCTTTACACTGTGTTAAAAATTTTATAATGAATGGACCAACAGAAATGCCTGAAAATTACTTAGAATAAAATCACTTTACATTCATTTCCATTTCCATTTTTTCATTAAAAGTTGTTATTTTGGAGATATTTGTTTTTCTTTGGGTAGTGAAGAAATGTGATATCTATATATAATAATAACATACCATAATATAATTAAATGTATGCATAAGCATATGCATTATATATATATTTATATTACTTTTTGTCCAAGTAATTTTGGTCCATTCATCATGAAATTCTTAGGCATCTATGCATGTTGTTAAAGACCATTTTTCTCAGCAAAGAAAACACCATATGTCATTACAATAATATGCTCCGTATGGATTTCATACATATGTAAGAATCTATATGTAATAATATGTCCCATATACATGATATGCATGTAAACATCTGTATGTAATAATAATTTTATAAGCCTGATCCAGCACCTAACACTGACCTTAACCCCATTAACCAAAAGGAAATGACTTTTATAAAACACTCTGTACAAAATCAGTCACACACACACACACACACACACACACACACACACACAGAGCAATATCTCCACTCTAACTTTTCAGCTCCAGATAATGAGAAAAATTAGTGCAAATGCTCTAAGTAATAGTTTCAGATTTTTTTCCCCGGCAAATGATTTTTTTCAACTTGTTTTTCTATCTATGCATAAATTAAAAAATCTGCTGAAATTTATTATTCATCTGAGATGTGATTAATATGCAAAATTATGCAAATTAAGATGCAATTAGGCTCCAATTCTCCAGTGGAATTTTCCATTATAATTTAATACAAAGTAACAGAGTAATTGGTGTCACGTGTAATTACGGTTACTCAAGTGTACTTTCAGGCATGCAAATGATGTGCTATACGTTGGTTATCCTATGCAAATGCTGCGTGTGCTGCTTTAACAAGTCGGAGATACCTGATAAGCGGAGTTGAAAACCTGAGGCGTCGGTGGGTTTATAGAGTGCAGGACTGACACTCTTTGCTCGTGTGCGTCCACTGAATACTAACTTTGAGGGAAAGTTTTCTCAGTCTAGATGTGATGCAGACGTTTGCTTTGCCACCAGAATGTTAAAGAGGACTGATTTAAATGGACAGAGGCTACATTCACATTACAGGGTTGAAGTGGCAGAAATCAGATTTTTTTGCTTCAGTGTGAACACAAAAACTGAGTTTTTTAAAATCGGATTTAAGCCTGTTTCATGCACCTACATTATACATATGTGGCCATTCAACATTAACAGTTTCAAAATTCATCTCATCACTACCACATTAAAACTTTTTTCTTTTAAGTTTTATTCTGTTGTTTTGGACCACTTGAAAAAAACTCTTTTTTGTGTACACATTTTATGAATGAACTAATAGAAGTGTTAAAAAAATCACTTGGTATAAAATCCTGTTTCATTAACGTACCTAACTGGAGGCAGTTGTAAAGTGATTTTTGTTTAGGAATTGTGCATAATTATTCAATTTGGTCATTGTCTACAGCTGTATGCAAAAGTTTAGAACACCGCTGGTCAAATGACAGGGTCAAAATGTGTGAATATGATGGTGTTAGCCACTAATTTATCCAAAATTTCTTCTACACACATGCTAATGTATCTAATAATGTGTTAAAGTTTGGATTTCTTGTACATGAACAGGTATGTTCACAACTACTAGCCCTTAGCGCCCATGTTTCTATAAAATATTAATATCTGCTTTATTCCACTGCCGCGGCAAACGGCAAATGTTGAAAACTGAACCCTTGACAAAATGTTCCACTGACCGCTGCGATAGGCTGCAGTTGCCGCTGCCCGCTGCAGCCGCTGTTCCATTGAAAAACATAGAATACCCAGTTTGCCATCGTCCATCTATCGCCATAATGTAAACGCAGCATCAGGGTTAGCAGGGAAGCAGCATGGTTTTTGAAACGCTTACCATTTTATGTTAATTTCTTTCATTTTTTTCATAGGTTAACCCCTTAAAATCCCAGGCTAAGACTTAATACTCAATAACTACAGGGACTTCAATGCAAACTGGTTGATCTTTTCTTAGGTTATAGAAGTGTGTAATAAAACTTTGAGGCTGCTGGCAGGTTCTGACCTTTTAAGGAGATAAAATTGAAAGAAATTATTAAGTCAGGAGAAAAAAACACACTGAAATATGACTCAAATGGAGGTCTAACTCAATGTTTATGTCATAATATATGATAACACTAGCAGATTAATCTCTTACATCCTTGGAAGACACGTCCTTTGCCAAGTTTTGATTGAGTTCTCTTTGAATACTCTTCCAGCATTCACAATCATCAGATTAACCCAGCTGGGGAAGGGGACTGAAGCACAACCCACATTACAAAATGTTCTTAAACAAGTCATACTGTATACTAAACCACACTGACAAGTCTGCATGACCTTAAATGAAGACCTGGATGTGGTTTGAGCAGGTTGAGAGCACTTTTGGGGAAGTATTTTTACAGAAATATTTGGGTGACTATTGAGTTCTAGTCATATTGTGTCATTAGTGTGTTAGCTGGCTAACTTGATGCTAAAATGCGAGCATACAGGCCCATTTGGGGTGCAAATTTGTTCATATATGGGTCACCTACACATGCATATGTAAACAGAAATATCTCATCTGCACAGAAAGTAGAGCAATAAGGCTTTTAATGTGAACTGCACTGCAATGAATTGATTTGACTCAAATGCGACACATCATTTCCACATGAATAAACTATATATTACATCAACACAATTT